GACATTCCCCCAAATAAAGGGGTACCGAAGTGCCGACATTCCGTAAAAGTGAACGTCGGGGTATCTTTTCGGGTACTGGGGTAATCTCTCGGAATGCTCTATCCACTTCTTGTCTGTGTACTTCCAGTTTTCAGACTCTTCAACGCTTTCAGACTCTTCCCCGCTCTTCTTCACCAAACAATGACTTGGAAGGGGGGACCCGGCCGTGAGCTACCGGCGGTGAGCTCATTCCCTTGCGCTCCAATACATCCAGCAGCCATACCTCCCCTGGTATAGCAACTCCTGGTACCTTCTGCCTCATTCGTCGTGCTCTTGCCACACTTGTCGCATTCTGCCCATTGGTTCCCTCTACGCAGCCCTTCTCAGAAAGGTTGGTATCCCTACAAATGGGAAGAAAAACACTCGATCTACGCAAGATCCCACAATGGACCCCCTGCTTCTCCACCAGGTGACAGTCTCGATGATGACGCACAGGGTACTCACCTTGAGAGCGTAACCCAAGGGCGAAACATAATATAAAAACACATCTTCAGAGCACATGTGACATCTTCAGTAAAACGCAGCCGCCCCCCCTTGTGGCTGGTCTACCCTCGCCCTCCTGATTTCTCAAGGCCCTCCAGGTGCCCTCCAGGTGCCCTCCAAGTCGGTGCTCGCTTAAGTGCTGTCGTTGCTCTTCTGCTTCAGATCACGATCCCCCACAAAGACAACTGCTGTCGCTGGACACGGAGTGTTGCGGATAGTACAGATTCCCATCACCCAGCATCATCTCATTCGGGGCATGGTTTCACGGCACACACACACTCACACATGTCTCCCGCAACGGCAAGAGGCCAAGATCACCAGCATCAGGAAGTAGTGGATCGCCTGCCCCAAACGCCGTGTTTTTTACTTGGAGGACTTACAGTCATTCGGACCTCGGATCGTCCATTTTTGGGAGCCCGGTAGGATGTTCATTCTTCAATCTGTTAGTACGCGATGTTGTTCAAAATCCACCCCCTACAGTATCGTCCAACAGTGCTGAAGAACCCGCAGGCCACCACACACACGCCAACTGACATTAGTATCCAATATGCAGGCGATTCCATCCACACCAACCCGGCAAAGGTTTTCCGCGACCTGAAAGCACCAGGCTTCAACGAATCCGTAAGGAAGATAAATTTAACAATTCCAATATTATATATTCCATTATTTCATAATAATATTTATTCTGGTATCTTCTGGTGTCAGCTCGAAATATACACAGCTCTGGCAAACCAAAACCATGACTGTCATGGGGTCTAAAAACATCGAAAAACGCTGGCTGGAACCTGGCTCCAGCTCGTGCCCTCCACGTGGCCCTCGGCCATCCAAGGATCTCAGGATCCGAGACAGACGCCGCCTGCGCCCCCAGGCCGGAGTTGGGATTCTCCAGGAGGTTCCGCACGCGGTCTTTGCACTGGCCGGGCGGACGTTTTCCCGCGGGGAGGAGGTGTCCTGTCCGGACCGGAGGTGTGGGGCTGGCTGCTTGAAGCTGCAACAACACGGTGGGTTTCGAACAGTGGACCAGCTGAAGTGGGGAGTCTTCGCCCCCTGAAAGAGAGGAGACACTGGAAGTTGGAGTTTTCTGGCATTGTGGAAGAGTTTGTTGCTGAACAAAGAGTTCGTCACTCCGGTCCAGCCTTGCTGTAATACACATATATATATATATATATGATATATATATATATATATGAAATCTGCAGAGCGCGTTGCACTCCCCATTGAAGAGCAGCTTTCATGGTCAAATGTGGGGATCAATCACTGGAGTGGAATGGAGTCTTCCGGACGACAAATCCCTCCAGTGCGGGAAGTTCGCCAGGTCCAGGTTCCCGGTTCGCAGATCTCAGAAGCAGTGTCTCCAGCATGGCAGGGCGTTGCTTCTCAACGAATCCGGGGACCCATGTCTACAAATGTCTCGAAAACCACCCCAAAGAAATACAAAACAGAAGGGTAAGTGAGATACACCAGTGAGTTACTTGCTCATCCTTCAGGTCAACAGATTTGATTTCCACCGAGCGTGTTCGCATGTTCGCTTCACGGCGACGCTGCGGAAATCATTGGTCATTTTGCGTTGCTTGCAGACTCTTTGTTGACTAGTAGCTTCTTGTTCCTAGTAGTAAGGCCAGGAGCCCCTATAGCGTCCTTGCTCCTAGTAGCTTTAATGTCCAACATGTTTCAAGCCTCCTTGACCCAGTGTGGCTTTCCACCGCTGTCTCTCCCAAACTCGCCGCCCCCGGCCGTGCGGTCTCCGAGCTCCTGGGCGGAACCACCGGGACGGCCGATGCCGTAGCGAAACAAGGACGCACGACGAGGGCACCGTGGTACTTCCTCATGGCCTCTGAAATCTCACAACTGGATACAACTGGCCATACTAGTTTGCTACTAGGAACAAGCAGCTACTGGCATCGCTACTAGGAGCAAGGACGCTACTAGGGGCTCCTGGCCATACTACTAGGAGCAATGTTTGCTATTAGGAACAAGAGATGGACATGCAGGACCACCGTCTACACGACTCCTAGGTTCCAAAAGAGACACTGCTTGGACCTGGATGGTCCTGGTAGAAGGGAAGGACCACAGAACCAGCGGAGAACTGGCCCTATCACTGCAAAAGGAATGCATCTCCGCTTCATGTCCTCTCCAAAAACATGATTATTGAAATGTGGGAAGTTGTTTCTCCTGATATTTCTCCTCTATGCAGCTCCGACTCAACAACATGGAAGTGGAAACCCTTTTTATTTGTAGAGGGAGGGAACCGGTCTTTCTAGCCATGGTCCACAATTAGTGAGTTGGAGTGTGTATGAGTATCTACATACCAACTAGCGGTTTCGGATAGTTTTGGGGGTTCTTCTATTCCAATCGACTTTTTTGGGTCAATCCGATCTGCTCCTCCTCCATGGTGTACCCAGCCTGGCTGTGTCCAAGGTGGGCACTCAACACATCGCAGGGCCAAAGTCGAATGTGTCGATGCTCACCATGGGCCTTGTCTCAAAACGCATACTGTAATATAAATCCATATAAGTGTAAATACATTAGATTGGCATGGACCTGTGTCTGATAGTGCGTATGATGTTTTCTTCTTGTTCATCTGCTCCTGCCCCCCGGACCTGTTTTCGCTAGGTGCCAAGGAGGCACTTAAAAGGCTTGTCTGACAACTGAGCCGGCTCACCCAACTAAAACTGGGCTAGTTTGGGATCCACCCGGTCGCCCAGTTTGGGCCTTCGATGATTCACCCCACTGGTGCGGAAGTCATCTGACTTCCTTCAAAACGGCAATTCTTCCAAGAGGCTGTGTCACGAGCTAGCAGCTATTGGCAAGTTGCCACATGGTGGAAATACAGCTTTACACCGAACATGTCTCCTGTGGATGGGCCACATGCATCTCTCGCATGCGGTTTTTCTTGCATGCAAGCTCACTGATTTGGCTTCGATTCGCTTCCAATCCCAGCCACTGACCGGAGGGATGCATGAGGCAAAATCAAACACCACCGACCCGACCAAGCTCCCACCGAATTCGGCATCTTTCTGAAAATATCTAAAATCATGGATGCAGACCCTTCCCATCCTCTGACCAGTGCCGCATGTGAAGCTCTGAATTCTTCTGAAGTCCTGTCCACACCCTGCAGACCCTGCACCCAACTCCCGCCACAGTCCGTGACAGGCGGCCGCCTCCGTACTCCGCAGGTTTTGGTACCTGTGCCGCCATCTGAGATCCCCACAAGCCAAACCGCACCACACTACCACTACACACCACAACGACCAAACTACATAACAAACTGTAATGATGTAATCAGTAATCAGCATTACACAGAACACCTCCGTCATTCTTTTGCAGCATGTGTTCAAGAGTCCAGGAACTGAGGGCCCTGCTCAGACATGCTTCGTGCTCTGGGGCCACACCCATTGGTCAGTGGCGGCGGGCTGCACTTGCGCTTGAATAGGTTTTGATATCCAGTGTAGCATGCATGTTGGGTTTGTTTTGCTAGGGAGGCTGAACGCATTGCAATGGTTTTGGACCTTGGTACGCAAACATGATTCTTTGGAGGAGTGTCAAATCAACCATATGTTCTTTCCCAAAAGGAAAGGACTGCTCACCGAACTGGTCACGACCGAAAACCCAGCAAAAAACGAAACCAAGTCCATGTCAGGCTCTATGGTCTGAAGTTTCTGAAGATGATCTTCAGCAAAACGCGGAGTGATTTGGATTTAAGGTGTGTCCATGTCTATGCTGATTGCTAGTCGTCTTTGTTTGCAGATCAGAGAGACATCCAATGACCTCCATGACCTTGCAAGCAAACGGCCTTTTGGGCAAGAGTTGGAAGTCAAGATCGCCTGATCATGGATCAAAGGACCAGTCAAGGTCCATGTCCAAAGTGAAAAATGTGTTCCCTGAATGGCCAGTCTGCCCTACCCACTGGGTCTGTATTCACTTCCATGATCGTCCACGGTTTTTTGGGACACGTCTGCCATGTATCTTGGAGTTCAACGGCACGGTGCGACTTGAAGCGAGCTTCGCGCCAGTGGTTGAACCGAAACCTCGATCCGGTGATGTTGGTTCATGGTGTCTTTGACCGCAGCATGATTGGGCTATGCACCCCCACGTGCCCCCCTTCCTTCCTGTTGGAGCCACATGTTGCAACAAGACTTGGTTTCGTCTGAGGTTCTCCGGCCCGACATGGAATAGGTGTGCGGCCCTCTTCATCCGGATGATACTTGCACAGGTTGCAAAGGGTTATGCATGTCTGCCATGGTCTGCACTCCTTTATGGCATGGTCACCTTTGGATTTGATGCAAAATCCCAAGACTTGTGACAAAAAGAAAAACCATCTCAGTGTTTTCTCCAGAACCATCATGAAGCAGAAGTTCTTCTATTTGTCTTCCAAGCTTCAGTAATGCATCTGTGACAAAAGTAATTAGTTGCTATACTAAAAACAGTGAACATCCCAACCAAGCTCTTTCAGCCCAAACCCCTGAACGGACTTTTTGGCTCGAATGGCGACAAACCGACACGGTGCTAAAGCTCGCCTCACCACGGGCCCTCGTATCCTTCTCCAGGTCGTACATACTGAATCCGTCCGACAGCACACTGTCCTGCAAGCACGGAAGGACCAAATCAGACTAAATCAGTAGACCTAGCCTACCTCGTTAGAGATAATGTTGGATGCTGATTAGTAAATGGGTCCTCAATAGTGCTAAATTCTTCCAAAATTATTCCAGACCCCATGATTGAAAAATGGGACCTGAATAATGCTAACTTTTTTGGGGGCCCTAATTTTTTTTATTTTGGAAGCCTAATTAATAAGGCTTTGAATTCCTTCTGAGGCCAATGATTATGATTCATTAGCTGATATAGTTTTCTCTAGGTTTCTTCAAAACTGACAGCTGACCAAAACCACCAATTCCTAATTAAACCCTGTATAAAACATTGCTCCTAAACAAGTTTTCAAGGTAGTAGACCAGGAAGGCACCTGATCCTCAATAATAGATTTGTTTTTGGGTTCTCAATTGTGACAAGTGTTTTTCCACTGGAAAAGATTGTTCATGTAATTTTCCTTTCCTTAGCTCCTGAGGCCAATGATTATGATTCATTAGCTGATATAGCGTTCTCTAGGTTTCTTCAAAACTGACAGCTGACCAAAACCACCAATTCCTAATTAAACCCTTTAAAAAACATTGCTCCTAAACAAATTTTCAAGGTAGTAGACCAGGAAGGCACCTGATCCTCAATAATAGATTTGTTTTTGGGTTCTCAATTGTGAAAAATTGTTTTCCACTGGAAAAATTGTTCATGTAATCTTCCTTTCCTAAGCTCCTGAGGCCAATGATTATGATTCATTAGCTGATATAGTTTTCTCTAGGTTTCTTCAAAACTGACAGCTTTCTCACAGGAATTCTCACAGGAATTCTCACAGGAATCCAGATTTGTTTTGGTGGTAGGTTATTATAGAGGTCCCCTGTTTGTTTGAGGTAGGGGGGGGCCCTGTTTACTAATCAGGATCCAACATTACTCGGACTCGTTTCTCAAGTACAACACCTGTCTTCTGGCGCTGGTTTTTAACAGTGGATGGCCGCCGTTGTGACGATCCCTCACCTACGGTCCATGCCTTTTTGATAAACTTAGTGGCTGCTTCGGTGTGAAGCCTCACCCAATATGAGAAGTGAACATAAAACATCACAAACATTGACAAACCGTCTATGCCTAATGTGTCCCATTCTGTCTATGTAGCCTGATGAAGATCAGACTTAAATCATCCTAAATCGATGCCCACCAAAGTCTGCGCACCAAGCAAATTTGATGGACCGCCCTGAACAAACACCCCACCCCTAAAAATTCCATGCGACGAAATCAAGAAATGCATTCCATGCACCAAAAAACTTAAAATGATTGACAAATATGTTGCGTGGTATATGAAGAAAAAGAGGTCACCGCTTGGAACCCATCTTCGCCATTCGCTCCAGCCTGCGCGTCACATCCCAAGCGCTTCCAGGATCTGTCTCCGCGCGACGCCTCGCAAGAACTTCACACACTCCGCAAAGCGCTCCTGCACATCGAAGCGGCGTGATGACTCGGAAGGAATCCAGCTGGACAGTACAGGCCGGGTCCCCCATTGACTGCGTGTGCTTCACATCGCGTCCATCTCCGGAACAAGACCAGTGCCACACACTTCACACCCATTCAAAAAGCAACATATATATATCCCCCTTACCCGATACATTCAGGTCACTGTAAGGGGGATATGTATATATATATATAGACATATATATATATATATTCCCACCTTCACGCCCGGCTCCGCCGCGGCTGTCTTGAGACTCGCCAGGTGTGGCGGAGGCACTGGAGCGCTGAGATCCTCGCCATACTGGGAGACCAAGATGGTGCATGTGCTTCTGAAGATTAATGGATACGAGTACGATAAAATATTGTATAATATAATCTTTTTCTGCGTCGTCATTCACATATTTATCTATTTATCTATTGTATTAGTTCTATTTATCTGTAAATATTATACAGTACTGTATACTTGATCCACTTTGCCCACTTAGGAAAAGAGGACTTGAATCTTTACCGCCAAAAGCTCCCTTTTCCCTCCACAGCTCACACGAGCAGTCTCGCACGGCGCCAGCTCCTGGGCAGCCGACGAGACTGCTTTGGTTTTGTAAACTAATTGCTGCAGTCTGGCGTATTTAGATGTAATTAATGTATGTTATTGAATGTTTTGGTGGCTTGGGGGGAGAAGATTCAAGTAAAAGCCATGCTTGAGGAAACCTTGTCGCAAGTACTGTATGCCTAGGACTCTCAAGTCTCGGGCAGGATCACTAGCTTTCTCAAGAGAGAGTATATGGCAAGTGATCAATGGATAATATTTTCGCACACGTTCATTCCCTACAGGACGGGCGTCCGAAGGCCGCCGCAGCGCCAGCGCGTCAGCGCGTCAGCCAACACCACCGTTGCAACTACGATCGCAGCTATGGACTTTTGCGTTAGCGATGATGCAAGGCCGGATTTGGATCAGTTCCAAAGCTGACCTGCTACACATGGGACTTGGAAAATCCAAAAGCGTTCTGGCAGGAACCCTCGGCCAGTTTCTTTCCTACAATTCCCTACAGCCACGGCCGGCTGCGGCCAAGACACGCCATGGGCCACGAATCCAGGCCGCGGTCGCGGCGGCAAGCAAAGTCCTTCCTGCCAGGATGTGGGCAGGAAACGGTCCACGTAGAAGGGCTCCCACGCACAACCAAGTAAGAAAGAAAACTTGACTTGGAGGACCTGTATCCTGTATCTGGTGCTTTCGGCAGCCAAGCAGGAAAATGTCATGGAGGCCTGCAAGACAAATTCATAAGAGGACGCACACGGATGAAATGGGGACGGCATTCTGCCCACTGATCAGCCACTACTTCAACCCGCAACAGCGGCCTCAAGACACGTGGCCAACTGCGTCGCGCACGGACCGCGTCTCATTGGCATAGCTCAGCCGATAGCACCCAGCTCAGCGAGCTTCGACTGGTAGACCGCCGGCGCACAAGCTGAGCCTCCAACACCTGGTTGGATCGATGACTGGGGGCGATGTTCGCAATGAGACAGTTGCCCCCCGTTCCAATAGCGCGGCCAAGAAGCTGGCACACAAAATTGCAAAATCTCCGGGACACAAGTTCTCCTCAAAGCAGAATGGCAGGTCGCCACACCTGCGCTGGTTCTGTCCCCTTCACATCACAACACGAAGGCACCCCGCAAAAACCTGAATGGCAGCCCAAAAAGCCAAGGTGAAACCAGGACCCCGAAAAACACACGCGGCCTTCAACCCATCTGTGGATGCACTCCAGAAGGCGCTTGATCCCGAGGATCTGAGCAACCACCACTCCGAAGCCAACGTGGCGGACCACGGTGGCACAAAGAAAGATAAACCCCTGAGTCGGCCAACATTTCTTTCAGAAACAATTGGGGAAGCTGAGACCCGCAAAAGACCCTAGCGTTTTCAAAAAACAAGGTTTCACGTCCGTACGGGCCCCCCGTCTTCGTGTGGGCAGGCCCATACCAAATGGCGTTTCGAGCGTTTCAAAAGTCGAAAAAAAGTTGTAGCGGCAGCCAATCTAGCTGCTGGGTGCCAAAGATCACCTGCTTCGAGTTGACCATTGGCCCTCTTAGTCCATTGACTCTTCACATGCTTGACGTGTTTCACAGCCAAGCGCTTCGAAGGCACACAACAAAGAACCTGCTCGAACATTCCGAAGCAAGCCTGAGGTCACTATCTCAGCGCATAAAAAGTCTTTTACTTTTACACCGAGAATCGGGTCCTCCCGCGAACCAGCGGCCCGAGATGGTGTCTCGCTCTTGTCTGACATCCGGCTGCCAAACTCAAAAAACAATGCCCGACGAACACGCGACTCGACGAAACCACGAACCGACGAAAACACGAAACGACCTATCAAACACGAACCGACGTCATTTGCCCCCCCCACCCCCCCCTGAATGACTGTTGGAACCCTGTCTGCTTCAAAAACGTGCAAATTCACGGGGGTCCGTACGGACGTGACACCAAAAACAAGCCTCAAAAACGACACTCGGGAGTTTGCATCAGCCGTTCTCACAACAAAAACAGCACCCAGGAAGCGCTACACCCCCGCTTGCTGCCCAAAAGCCACAAGGTGTGGTATCATCTTCGCAACGCACCGTGCGCTGGCAGTGCTTCGCTGCCAGCGGGCCACAGCTGCGAGATGCCGCCTTCTTGCCAAAGGCTGCGCCGCGGGCACTCCGCAAAACTGCCAAAATTGAAGGAGAACTCCTCCCACAAAAGAAAAACAAGGTTCAAGAAGCCTACTCCAAGTCAAGCATGCCTCCCCATGGGAAAAGAACCAGGAACGAGAGACCATGAATGAATTGGCTGCGCTTGGCGCCTCAAGTGCACTCTGGTCCTTTTGCCTTGCCGCCGCCGACTGGCGGCGCAACCCAAGCGCAACAGCCTTCTGCACAGCTAGCTCATGCTGCTTGCCATGGCAATCCCGCACACGGAGTCGCATCACCCGACCCGTCTTGCATGGTTGCTGCATAATTACGCTTGGCTTTGCAAGTGTGATTGTTTGAAATCGCCTCTGCCGCCCGACAACGGCCACCCGTTGCCCATGGAACATGGCGGCCGAGCTGCCCATGCAGAAGCAAGCTGTTCCAAACTCCTCTGGTGCCCTTTTCTGCCAGCATGCGCTAACACATTTTGATCTGCAAGGCCGGGCGAGTTCCCACGGAGATCTGCCCCCCAAACGGAGGGGCATCGGCAACGTCGGCAGCTAACAGCTCCATGTGGTCATGTGGTGTAAGTGGTCCGCCAAAGTAAATTCAATTCTTTCTTGTCTGCAAAACATGCCAGCCTCTGAAATGTAGGTTTCGCAAGTGGGGGCAAACAAATGGTTGAATGAAGCTGAACACTTGCCGACATGGACCCTGCTGTGCCTCATGTCATGGCAATCCGACCACTCTGAACCAAGTGGTGCACAAGAGATAAACACCCAAGCCACTCCGACATTCCGTGTGAAAGACTGAGCTACAACTAAAGATTTAAGAATGATCAAGTATACATAAGTAATCATAAGTATATATTGTGCTTTCACTTGCGCTCTTGCGCACAGAAAGCATATCTTGGCGCAGTTGGTTCATGTTGATCCACGTTGATCCAGATCCGTCCCTGATTGGTGTTTCTGTGCCTATGGTGGGGCTATGAGTATCTGCAGGTGAAGGACGACATTTCGCAAGCGTTCAATGTTGTTCCACTTGGGGATGTTGATGATTCATGATCCAGCATTTAGGCTATTATGTAACTGCTCTTAGCAGTCTTAGCATCTCTTAGCTACGGTCTGAACCATTGAGTGTAGGTGACTTGTTGTTTCCGGGGTGATTGAATCCTGACTTCTTGCTGGATTGAAGCTAGTTGGAATTCTTTCACAGGAACCACTAGGCGGGATCTCGGTGGGATTGCGGACTCCCTCAGTATCAACTCTCAGTGTTCCTCATCTATATATTGGTGTCATATTGGTTTCAACGCCGGGTATATGACAGCTAGGTGCAGGGGCTATGCACTCGCTAGTTGGTAGATCCAAAAAAGAATTGACATCTCGGGCACGAGTTGAGTTGAGTCGTTTACTTGGATCCCATCTAGAACTGACTATGGCTTTGTCCCTGGTTTGTCCTCTCTGAACCTACCGCAGCTTTGTAAGATGATGCTGAACGCCCACCTCACCTAACGATATGCAAACACTGTTTTCCTTGATCCGCATAAACAGGCTATCCAGATTGGGGGAGCTTCTGGTTTGCAATCTATTCTCAAGATCCTCCAATGTTCACCGCTGCTTTGTCACCTACATTTGCAGACCCTCAAAACAACTTCTTTCCCTGCTGCCCACCAAGCACCGCTTCTCTAAACCCATCCTCCCCACATCCTCCCCACCCTCTCTTCAACTTCTCCTCGACCCCGTGAACGTGGAAGAGCCCCACGCCCCGGCAAACATTCACCGCCGTCAACTCCTCCGAGGCGTCCATGCGGCGCTTGTAGCCTTGGATCGATGCGCGGATCGAACTCAGCTGCTGCGGGTGGTGGGTTCTTCCCCCCTTCCCCAGCCTTGGACGAGAAGGCCGCGAAGAAGGCTCACGGCCGCTGGTCGCAAGCGGCGTGGCGCGTCGACACGTTGATTTGGGTTTCGTCCACCCTTGCACCTTTCAGCAGTTCTTTGGAGGTCTCTCTTACGGCTGCTTTCAGCCTGGCGAGGCCTCGGAAAAAAAGACCGGACGGCCGAAAAAGGCGCTCGCGCTGAGGCACAGCCCATGCCATGGCCCAGCCGCGGCAGCGGCGAGAACGCGGCGATGGTCTTGGCCGAGGTCACGTAGAGTTGGCTATGGAAGAGCCCAGCTCCTGGGGATTGATGGATCCCTCTGTGGAGGGTGGGAAGGAGCTCCCCCTTCTGAGCTGACGTCTGGCGGAAGAGCAAGGGCGGAAGTACTATGATCCCCAACCAGTATTGTTGAAATCAGTATGTGACACACCAAGGAAGGGACTCCGAACAGCTAGTTTTTGTGATGATGGTGATGATGTGGTTGTCGGTGGTCACGCAACAACGCCTGTGGCAAGCATGCTGTCCGACCACACGGGTTCTCAAAGGCCCCCAGTTGAAGACAAATATGAAAAGGAGTAGATGAGTAGATTTCAAGCTGGGGTGGAGAACCTCCTTGCATGCTGATACGGACTCAACCGCGACACATAGTTGTGCTGTTGGCATAACACGCAGACACACACACACACACACCGCTTCAATGAAGGTTTCAAGATGTTTCAATGGCTTTGCGTGGCGGAAGGCATGACAAGTTGCAGGGAAACAATCCAAAATGCCTTTTGCATGGCAGTAGTAGTGCTTTGGAACGCATACTGCAGTTTTACGTGGCAGGCGCCAGGAATCAGTGACCTGGAGCTGCCCAGTCCTGCGCCTGCCACCTTTGTGACGTTGTTACAAAATGCTGACTTAGGAGACTGCGACGAACAAACGTAGAGGTGGCCCATATCATCCACAGATTTCCGTGCTTGTGTTAGGTAAAGACAGCGAGTTCAACTTGGGTATTTTATGGTATTTTGAGGCAAAGGTGGATACTGAAGGACTCTTGAATCCCCCTGCCCTAATGTCGCTGATTGGACTTCTGACATGTACATGAATGGCAGTTTTTTCGCCGCTAAGAACACTTCAGGCAACATTGAAGTTGGTGGTAAAGGGGGTGGAAGAACAGGTGACACAGAAGACCGGTGGAGAGCTCTTTCTTTCGTTCTCCTGGAAGAACCGGGTAGTACGTACTGCTTTCTGAGACCCATCTCTAGTCCTCAGGCAAGGGTGGCCAGTCCCCTCTGCAAAACAATCCCATCTGGGGCACCGAGGCCTTCCTCAAATCCTGAAGCTGCTGATCAAAAAGTGCAGACTTGCAAGCATGATTGTGGTCACAACATATCACAAGCGCACTTGGCCACGCCTTGAGCTAGAAAGTCCCAGCGACAAAGGGTCTTGGGAAAGACCTCCTGCCACATCGTTCGAGCCAGGCACTTGGTTGCTTCGCCGCTTGACGACTGGCGGCTGAGGCTCGGTTTTGGTGTCACTGAGATCCACTGAGAAGACTGACGATAATACTGAGTAGAAAGTCGGGAGATATGGATTCTCACAAGTCCAGACTTATGTGAAGCTATTCTCGCCGCAAGCAGGATGACAGCAAACTCGGGTTGTACTTTGGCCACACATCGGGAACCTTGCATCGGGAGCCATTCTCGAATCCTTCCCTCAATCCAAGGCCACCAAATTACGTGGAAAAGCAAGCATGATGAACACCATTTGGTGGGTCTCATTATGTTCCATATCCTGGGCGTCCCTTTCTCCTATCAGAATCAGGGTGTGTTTTTTCCATGTCGCGTATTCAATAAGCTATAGGCAAGTGCATCCGTGCAAACTGGACATGAAAAAAACAACATCCATTTCGGTCATTCATTCATGTTTCCTTCATTTCTTTGGTTTACCTTTCGAAACCGCTCCCAGTTGTCGCTTGTCCCCTCTCCTGGGTGGCTCTGGTGTGACCCGTGGCCCGTCGAAGGACTTCCTGGCGCAAAATGCTTTGGACTTCCTTGGTGGGAACGGTGGACCCCGAGGCGAAGGGGTTTGGATATTTTTGGATGGTTTTGGCTACTCGTAGTAATGCCCTTGTTACTAGTAGCTTTTTGTTACTAGTATATAGTAATGCCAGGAGCTACTAGCTTCTTGCTCCTAGTAGCGATGCCCTTTGCCACTAGTAGCTTCTTGATCCTATGGTTTGGGGTTCGCTGGAAAGGATCAACTTTGGGCAATTCCCGTTACGATGATGATGATTAGTAAAGGCCGACATCGAAAACAAATAGTGATAATCCTTTACTGACTGTTACTGGTAATGGGCTACACCCTAGATCATCTATCTTTAGATTGACTTCAGATGCGGAGGTATCTCCTGGTATCTCCCTCCTTTGTCTTAGGTCGCATTGAAGTGCTGGATTCTATCGGCATCGGGGTTGGTTTTACCATGTATTGTCCGTTCGCAGTTCTGCTCATGGCTGGTCATGACTGCTCATGAAGCAGTCTTGGGCACCCTTCGTCTTCTCTCCCACATGGACTCTGGGTGGACTCCGAGCAGAGCAACGTTTGAATGTCTTTGATGAATTGCCTCTCACTATGTGTGGCTCATGTAGCTGCTCGGCCTCGCAACATTCATCATATGCATCCCAGATCGCTCACCCCGCCTCTTTAAACAGTGATTCAACCTCGAAAAAAATTCTGGCGGAGCTTCAAGAGAGTGGAACTTGCCTTTCACCGCTGAGGGGAAACTCCTCCCCCTTGCAAAAATCACCCCGTTCATTCACCTGCCTGGCGTGGGACTTGGATGAGTTCCGGGGGCGCCGAGAGAAAGCACATCCTCAGCCGCGTCGGTGGCTTGCCGCAGAAGAAACCCAGCGTTGCTCACAAACATGAGCCGACACCACTATGTCAGCGCCAACTCGGTCGTTCACTTGCATGGTTGGGTCCACCATCATTCGGTGGAAAGGGGGCCACCGGTGGCGGAGTCTTCCAGCAGCTTGCGGCAAAACAATGGCATCGGCCTCCTGGAAGACCATGTTTTCGTTGGTTTTTCTCTAACTCCACAGGTGGTGAACTCCACATCCCAATGACTCAGAGAGTTCGTCACGCAGAAACCCCCAGACACCTGCCAGTTTGGCTGAAGCCAACGACTGCGCTGACCGGAAGTCGTGCAACCAGACGGTCAGACCTTCGCAGGAGGTCTGAACCGCAACCTCGATCCAGGCGTTGCATCCTCTACTCAAGTTCACGCCATCCACGATCTGGTAGGTACAGAGCACTTGGGCAGAAACAAAAGAAACAGCCAGAAACCGGTTCCTTCATGTTGCTACTACATGCTTCTACTTCTACGCATTCATCTCAACAAACACATTGCCAAGCGAGGGGACAGCTGCATCATCGTCCGACGCTACAGTAAGGCGTCTCCTTCCAAAGGCATCTGCCCAAAGGCACACCACCGGCGAACAAACCATTCACCCCATACACCTGGTCCAGCGCCGTGTCGAACGGCCGGGTCTCGCCGAGCAGCTCCACCAGTTGTGTTCCAGCATCTTCGAGCACATCGGAACACCAGCAGGCGTGCATGGGCATCCAAGAGCTAAAGACCTCGGTTCAAGAAGAAAGAACCACGGAAAACCACCGGATCACCAGAGAGTGGAGGCGGAGGGCGGCTCGGCATGGGATTTCGCGGGGCCGGAGTGCCTGGACATGGTGTTCCTTTTTGGGGAGGGGTGGTCTGCCCGGCTTTTGTTGAAGCAGGTGTGGTGGGGGATGAAGAATCGAGTGAAACAGGGAAATGCAGAGAACTGCCGAAAGCGTTCGGAAACCGGGTCTTGGTTCCAGAGTTGACTTGCATGTCAGTTTTGAGGAATCCTAGTTCTGAGACTGATCAAAGGCATTCACATCAGCCAGGCCAACACCACTCAGGCAAAAGTGAAGTCAAACCGTAAGGCTCCACAAATGTCATGGACTTTTCCGTTGGAGGAACACTGACCACGGCTCAAGCCTGAGAACTTGGCGTGACCCAGCGAAGTAGGAATTCCCAGTCCATCCAAAAGAAAACCTGCCGCATTCTGGTGCTGGACAACCCCCGAGCCAAGCACATTTTGGTTGGGCAACAATCTCTCGGAGATGTTGCAGGACCTCAGGAGCGCCAGCTCCCAGGGTCTTGCAGCCCGGGCCGTCTTTGTGTCATATCTGACTGGGCAACACGCGATTTCCTTCAAAACCCAGGAGGAAATCCCTCCAGAACAGGCGGCCCGGGCCTCCAGCCGCCCAGACCTCCAGGCCTAGGCCTCCCCGTTGTTCCCCCGCCCCGGTAGTGCCAAGCCACGTAGACCGGTCCCAGGTCGCTCGCACTCCGCACCGCCCGGCGGCGGTCCAGGCGACGCACGGGCAGCTCCCGCGGCGCCTGAGGCCGGTCGAGGCCGGTGGAGGCTGCTTCTGGGACGAGTCAAACATAGTCAAACTATATATATACCTATAGAACCCATTCTGGTTCACTTTTGGCTTGGGTCCAAAGGTCCAAGTAGAAAAGAAAGAGCCAAGCCAAGGGAAAAGTCATTGAAAGTCTTCCCGCCCTCCCGTCCTCATCTGAAAACCAATCCTCTGTAGGTATTGTTAATGGTATCTGGGAAGGTGAGTTGAGTTGGGTGGTTGAATGTTGCAATAACACTCACTTGGTATGCGCTGTATTGCACATCCAAACTTTTGCATGACATTCATTTGCAATGTCTGTGGAAACTAACTCCAAACCATTGTATGGTGTTCATTATTTAGCACTGCATGTATACAAATGCAGCATCATGTAATGCAGTGTGCGCGTGGTGCAATTTCAAGGGGCTCAAGTGTCATATCATAAGATATATGTTGCCTTGTCTGTTTTAAATTATGATGATATTTTGGGAGTAATTGTGTGGAAGGCAAAAACAAGGCCTGCCTGCGGTATTGGGCCAAAGCAATAACAGGTAGGCCACATATACACTGGATTTTGTTTCGTGAAATAAAGGTGACTAATGGTGACTACAGTCTTCTAGCTCTTCGTGTTGACTGGCTATTGTTTTAATCTGGCTGGCAAAGTTTTTGTTGTCTTAGTTTGAAGCGGCCAACATACTAGCAAACAGTTTGTTGAAACAGGCCTTTTGATTGTCTCATGCGTTCTTAGATTTCATGAACTGTGCTCTGAGTTCAGGATGGTCAGGAACTGCCCCACTAAGGAAAACTAAGGATTCGACGTGCCAAGGGTCGGACTTCCTTCCCAGCCACGTAAATGACTAAGGATTCGACTAAGGGCCGCACTAAGGGTTCGACGCGCTAAGGATTTCTAAGGTATCGTGAATGACTATCTGCACGAGGCGCGAAAGAAACAAAATTAGGCCCCGCTGCAAAGCAGATTGGCCCGCATTAGCCCTGAAAAGGGCATTCCTTTCTGGGACCTGACAAGTTTTTGCCGGACTCTCTATGGACTGCATGACCCAAGATTTGGAGGAACCAAATCTTGGCTTGAAGTTGAATTTACCCGCCAAAGCACCAAGTTTTGGAGGGAAAGTTCAACTAAAGACAGCACCACAACTTGGATTATCCAAGTTTTGGAGTTGTTGGGGGGTGGAGCTCGGCGCTTCGTTCACCACAGGTTGAAGCTCCCAAGTTGCCAAGTGTTGAACTGAGTTTCCATTCAGAGCACGGTTTTTCAAAGGTGCAATTCCTTGGTTGGGCCAACCAAAGAACTCATCCAAGATGATTAGGTGGCCTGTTTGCACTCTCAGGCTCACTTATTCTCATGTCGACTGACGCTCACTTTTGTGTCCTGATTCATCCTCACTTCACTCAACCTGATTTGCCTTCACCGCTTGGCTTGTTGTTGCTCATGATGTCATTAGAATGTCGCTGAAACAGCCAATGGTGACACAATGCATACCATGCAAGCTGACAAGTTGAAGATTGTGACGAATTCAAACAATTCACAGCCTTGTCACCGCTCTTTGGAGTTTGACTCCAAGGTCCTGCAGCCACCGTCATGATGCCACCACCATTGATCCAGCGCCTGGGGCGCGGGGTCACCAAAAGTTTCTGACACCAACATATTTGGGAACAACCATGGTTCCTATCAGGCCCAAAAAAGCTGCGCTTTACTTTGCTGTAGCTGTGACCATGAGATTTTCTGGTTTAACTGTTCAGCAAAAGACATCTACAAATAAGTGTGCGCCAAGTACTGAGGGCAGAGCTTGAATTTTCAAGAAGCCATGACAAAGCCTAAATCTGAATGCAGCTGAGCAAGAATGACAACGAATCTGAGTGAAGGCAAATCAGGTTGAGTGAAGTGAGGATGAATCAGGACACAAAAGTGAGCATCAGTCGACATGAGAATAGGTGAGCCTGAGAGTGAAAACAAGCCACCTAATCATCTTGGATGAGTTCTTTGCTTAGCCAAACCAAGGAATTGCACATTTGAAAAAACCGTGCGCTGAATGGAAACTCAGTTCAACACTTGGCAACTTCGGGGCTTCAACCTGTGGTGAACTAAGCCGAGCTCCATCCCCCAAACAACTCCAAAACTTGGATAATCCAAGTTGTGGTGCTGCTTTTAGTTGAACTTTCCCTCCAAAACTTGGTGCTTTGGCGGGTAAATTCAACTTCAAGCCAAGATTTGGTTCCTCCAAATCTTGGGTCATGCAGTCCATAGGCCATAGAGAGTCCGGCAAAAACTTGTCAGGTCCCAGAAAGGAATGCCCTTTTCAGGGCTAATGCGGGCCAATCCGCTTTGCAGCGGGGCCTAATTTTGTTTCTTTCGCGCCTCGTGCAGATAGTCATTCACGATACCTTAGAAATCCTTAGTGCGTCGAACCCTTAGTGCGGCCCTTAGTCGAATCCTTCCATCCTGAACTCAGAGCACAGTTCATGAAATCTAAGAACGCATGAGACAATCAAAAGGCCTGTTTCAACAAACTGTTTGCTAGTATGTTGGCCACTTCAAACTGAGAAAACAAAAACTTTGCCAGCCAGATTAAAACAATAGCCAGTCAACACGAAGAGCTAGAAGACTGTAGTCACCATTAGTCACCCTTATTTCACGAAACAAAATCCAGTGTATATGTGGCCTACCAGTTATTGCTTTGGCCCAATACCGCAGGCAGGCCTTGTTTTTGCCTTCCACACAATTACTCCCAAAATATCATCATAATTTAAAACGGACAAGGCAAATATATATCTTATGATATGACACTTGAGCCCCCTGAAATTGCACGCACACACTGCATTACAAAAGTGAGCCAGCATTTGACCTGTGTTTTCATGTAGGAAAAGACTGTTTTGGCTCCAAACCAGGGGTCAGTCAGGTTCTAAGTATATATATATATATATCCCCAAATCGATAGAAGTTCGTAGATCCCTAATGAAACATGTAAATGTCGTCTATTTCTATGATTTGGGGATTATTATGCGGCAGTCGGTGCCTTTTTGGAAGTCGTTCGATGCAGGAAAGTTCCCACATCCAGCAAGTTCGGTGATGGAGATCAGGTGCAAGGCGGACACAGGGCGTCTCCGCCCTGGGTCACGACGCTGGACCAACTGGGAATGGGTGAAACAGTGAAACTTCAAATTTGAATGGTGTATGATCGTTGTATGTGTTCCCCTTTTGAGGTGTTCTTTTTGTCGGGGTGCTGTGGAAAAAAACCAGTGGCAACGCCGAGAGTGAAAGGGCAGGTATGGCACAAGTGTAAGGTGGTTGAAATCGACAAACTGCCAAGCCCACAGTGAGGTTTGCATTCGGTGTCCATTTCATGGAAACCTGGTGCATTCTTGCCTCCTTCCTTCTCTAATTGCTATCTAGGTCAGGCCCACAAAAGGCACGGTATAGTATGTAGGTTGGAATGGGTCCTTCCTGCTCTTCATGTTCAACTCGCGTTGGTCTACAAAACGCGCGTTAGGTCGGAATGGCAAGGTTCCTTCCTGCTTTAAGGTTTGTCCTTGGGCGGTCCACAACAGGCACAGGTGCCAAAAGGTCTGCTAGGTTGGGGCTCAAGTGGGGCTCAAGGTGGAAACATTGCCAAGACAGAGTGTTCGCTCAGCAGGATCAGCGTTCCAAACCCTTTGGACCCTGTTTGGCTTTGCAGCTATTACCGTTGGCCCAATGCACCTGGCCCGTAGGCCGGAAAAGCCGACCTCGGTCACCACCGGAACCGGCCTCCGCCACCCGGTTCTGCCGCAAGACCTGCAGTCCGTGACTCACTCTCCGAGTGACTGGTCCAAGGATAGCATTTACCCAGTGGAAAAGGACGGTTGAACATGATTTAGCATCGATTTATTATATATATATATGAAGTTCTTAGGTTGTTCTGAAGTGATTGTTCAATCAATCAATCAACGCAGAAAAGGCACTACAAACCTACAACCCCCAGTTTGTTTCAGTCCCAAATCTTGAATTGGCTCGAACAGGAAAAACATGTTAGGAACGGGATTCACCCATAGGGAAAATACAGGGTCACCGCAAAACCCTATATAGATGGACAATTCGGCGATCCGACTGACCATGCTCCACCAATCCTCCACTAATCCGTGGCCAAATGGCCTCATCCTGGTCGCTGTCCGTGGCAACAACCTCAGCCGAGTGAACTGCGGAACCTGAAACTATCTGGCTTTGACTGGGTTCCACAAGTGCTTTGACACCTGTCTTGGACATGAATGAGCGCCACTTCAAGAGGCAAAACCCGGAGTGTCTCGTGGATTCTGTTGGGATTGAGCTGAGATCGATCACTCTGGACAAGGGTATTTTATCATCAGGTTCATCCATATATATATAATATGTATATATAATATATACATAATATATATATATAGTGTATATATATATATATGTGTCAAAATGTAAGCCAAAGCACGGAAATCTCAAAGTCCCCGTACTTCAATCGCGGCTCTTCCTGCGCAAGGAGGGATTGTTGAAAGGTGTTGAACGGTCTTGAAAGCAGTTGCACTGGCAGTCTGGCAATCTTTGCCAGCACGCCACTCCCTTACCATGCAACTCAGAATGATCCAGTCCAGACCCCGAACGGGTGTAGGTTCACGCTCTGAGGCGTGAAGGAAGCTACCGCTATCGGCTCGGCCGGTTGATGTGTCCAAAGTTGGGGCCGTGGGAGGTCCAGGCCAAGGCCAGGTCTTCCTTCTTTCCGGAGCACGGATGATAGGCGCAACCCGACAGCATTCTGATCGGCCCTTGGCTCCTGTCTTGCAAAAGGTCTAGTCTGACCATCCTTTCAAACTCAGATCTAAAGGCATGGACCAATGTTTAGTACCCAATATTTAGTACTGAATCCATATCGGCCATGACCAGCCGTTTTCATCACTCCTCCAGGGACACTGGCACGCCCAATGCTGCGGCCAAATGTAATGCCACACAGGCTTCAACCAGAGCGTCGCCTGTCCGGGCACCAGGCTGGGCACCAGGCACAGTCCGGTGCAAGGCAACTGCGACAGACTGTGTTTGATCCGTTTGATTGAAAAGCACGGAAGGAAATGGACCACGGCAAGACTAGTCCTGGACTCAAAACCATATCCTACTCACGGAACAGGAAGGTTGCCACCATGTCAACAAAAGAGGGGGCCAATTGAAGACGCCCGTGTGAACACCTGCGTTTTCCGAGACCCACAGCACCATCGCCGTGATGAAAAGACAAGCTATAATTGGTGATGAGGGTGAAACCGCACTGCCTCTCGCAGCGTTGCTCACATATGGCATCTTGTAACAGGTCTTGGAAGCACTCAAGTCTGAGATAAAGAACCCTTCACTCTTGGTGCTCGCCACCTCTTCATACCTCCTTTTCTCCTATGTTGCTCCTTTGCGATTCCACAGTGTTACAGTCGCAAACGGTCTTACCCAGCCTGCTCCAATACTCAGGAAGATCAGCCGCTTGTGACCCTGAGCGTTTCGATCCGGTTCTGCCGGGAGACATTCGTTTCTGCATGCTTCATGGGGTGGTTGATGATGTTGATGACCAAGTATTGCAACATTGGGAGTGTCTTTGAAATCTGAACTCGAATCTCGACCCACACCATGATTGCGTCGCGAAAAGGATCCAATTCCTGGGGAGTGGAAAAGTAACTAAAAGGAAGAGCGCGGGGCATCCTACGACTACACCTGGTTTCCAGAAGCCGGCATGAAATCAAACTAGCTCATGCCCACATTCTCCACACTTCTCCCCCGCTAATTACGCTTTTTCCAGCACTCACCACAAATAGCCCACCGCCCGCCTGCTGTCGCAACTGCTTGGCACAGCTCAAGACACGCCAAACGAGGCAGGCGCAGAGTTCCAAGGTTGGGAGCTCCGTCAAATGCGCTTGCGACCTGCTCCGATCCAGGTCCGGTACCCATGGGGACGCCGAAGCAGAGGGATCCCCAAGGGATCAGCGGACGTTCAGACATAGAGGTCCCTAATGAATGAGATGGAAACGGTGTCCACAAAGACGGACTTCAAGTATTCAAGGTGTGTATCTAGTTTAACCCGGCGCACATTCACTAAGGAAATAGCATATATACCGTAAATCGAATGCGTCAAAAAAAAAATATATATATTTATATATATTTATATGCGAGCTGCGAGCCCATCGGTTGCCGGGTTTTCAGAAGTGGTTGGAGGAAGACAAAAGACAAGGTTTTTTGGAACTCGCAGCGATCTCCCTGTCTTTTTTCTACAGAATGGCTCTGGTTTGCATGTGGAAACTGGAAGAGAAAACAAAGAATAGGGCTTCTGCAAATCTTTTGAGGCATCAACCTATTCCAGCAAATGTAATGCGGGCAGCAGCAATCTCGCAGGTCAAAGGCTCATCAGGTGTCCAACCTTTTCCTTCGTGCGAGTTAGTTTGCCACAGTGGACATTTGAACAATTGCAGTGGATTGAGGATTGAGAGTAGATGGCACAATCACCAAAAGGCGGTTTATATGGATCCCCATCTAACATCTTGGGGGTTGTGCCATCTACTCTGAAACCACTTATAAGTTGTTATTATCTTTCAGCCACGACCTATATCACAGCGTCATTGTCCCTTCCGCATCACCCAGGGGTAGCTGAGCATCTTTGGCGATAGGTTCATCGTGGAGCCTGATCAAGCCCCCGAAACATGCAGGCTGCTTGGCTACGTGGGCAACTACAGGTTTCCATGACACGATGTGCTGATGTCCTCAAACTGTCCTGCCGAACTAGCATAGCACATGCCAAAAACTGCACCAAATACCTGGCTACGTTGAGATCACCTCACTTAAAATAACGGGCACTCCTGGAATCCCAGCCCGCAGGATCGAACTTCGTTCAGCGCTTTCAGCACCTGTGGGTACCCAATGTACGTTGCTTCGTCCGTTCGGCGCAAGCTTTCGACACTGCTCCTCCGCATGATGGGCGGAGGGCGGGGCGGGCGGTTTCACCGGCCTGGCGCTCATGACCAAAGGCCATCTGCTTTGGGAGGTCCATGCCCGCAGCACAGAGAGCAAGCCATCGAAGCCTCATGCGAAAAGCATGCGAAAAGCATGCGAAAACACGGCTTATTCAGATGAATAAAAGCATGCAAATCTGTCACCAATCACATCCCCACATCCTCGTCAAACCAAATGCTTTTAGCTTGTCAACCACTCGATTCAAGGATGGGTCCGTCAACTAATAAGAGCGAGAGAGAGAGAGAGAGAGGGAGAGAGAGGGAACCATCCCAGCAAGCCGATCAAAACATGCAGAGCGTTCCGCGTACACAACAACCGTCGCACGCCACCAAGAGCTCAGCCAATATCATCCCACGACCTTAATTATACCTATAAGCCGCTTATAAGCCTCTAAGCATGCCATTATAGCATTGAAGATCATTCTTACCATATACCTATAAACATCCCATGAAGACTTTCATCTATTTAGAAACAAACAAGTTTCTTCACCGTCCAAAAACCCCGTCCCAGTCCCCAGTCCCGGTTCTCTCTCTCAGCTCCCGGGACGGTTCCGCCCGAAGAAGCGCGGCGCCAAGCGTTGCTGCGAGGTGATGAGGTCCCAGGCCTCGCCCAAACGCGTTCGTAGAAATACATACTCACGGCTCACGTCTGGTAGGTAGGGATGTATGTAGGTACAGTAAGTAAGTAAGTATAATATGTATTGTATGTAATTGTATGTACAAATGTACGGATGTACAAATCTAAGATCATCTAAGTACGAATGGAAGTCCGTCCGTCCGTCGGTCTGTCTTAGGTTTGATGACCTGCTTACCCTACAGATCCAGTCGTAACTTCTCAGGTACGGTGATTGCAGACACTGCTATGTAGGTGGGTCCAGCAACCGAACCGGGTCGGTTCAGTACCGACCTACGGATCCCGGATGGGCATTGAACACCGGAGAACAATGGTTCCGGGGCAGCCTCGTCTTCTTGCAAGGGTCGCTGTCCAAGCACACGGCCATCCTGCACGGGTCGAGGGAGATCGAGGACTCCTCACAGAGAACTGAGACATCAACGACCTGAGTAGCCAACGATGTTCAACTGGCGACTGAACAAAAAAAGGTTGAAGCACAAGTTGAAATATGACATGATGGATAGGGTAAGCAACGATGTGTAAAGCTTTGAACGGTTCCAACTTTCTTCCGCCGCCTGCCTCGCCCAGTCCGAGCCGTTGCAGCCAGATCTCAGTCAGATCGTCAGAGGTCCAGCCCTCGGCCTGTGGCACAGGTGGGAGCTAAGAGGACCTAGACAAGACTTGTCTACCAGGAATACCAAAGTTTTGGTTTGTTCTTTTATTTGTTAGTCTTTCTCGCTCTTACGTCATTAAGTAGGCGCCAGGGCAACTAGCTGCCGCTACCTACTGGACACAGGCTTCTTCAAGGAACCTCCCCCCGCGGCCCTAAAGGCGGCGCGGGGGAGCTTGCTTGAACAAGCGCTCGCACTATTCATTTGGCTAATAAACTTCTAGGAAAAATAATGATAAAAATAGAAACATGCTATTTAGTCCCCAAGTGAGTGGAGAATGGGCACGTCTCTCCTCCATTCACCTCTTTCCAAGTGCTGCCATAGAATTCTATGGATGTCCATAACAGTTGTGTTTGTTATCTTCGACAATGCTGTTCCTATTTCTCTTCCATCATTGGAGGGTACTTCGTAGATCAGATCGCACTTCGGACTGGTCTACCCGCCTCAAAACACATCGGCGGTCTACACATCGGCGGTCTCCCACCCGCCTCCGGGATCTCTGGCCACCGGCCTGCAAACGAACACCGACGGAGCCGGGAGCCGCATGCGTCTGGTCTGCACATGCGTCTGGTCTGCACATCGGTCGAAAGAGGGCACTACTGGCGACTACTGGGTGCTCCTCGTTGAGACGAGTCGACTCGTCTCCCAATCCATCCCACAAATCCTGACCACTGGGTGCTTGTCCGAGTTCCCATTCTGACCGGTGCCCTCAATGCTGAGAATCTTGGCCTGTTGAGGAAAAACACCGAAAACAGAAAACGGAAAACCACTCTGGAACCGAGCAATCTCAACTGCTGAGCAGGTGTTTGGTGCCCGAAAAGTGGAGTCTTATGGACCTGATCACCCTCAAATGGTAGGATGTGGATGATTCCTCATACGGTTGATGCACAAAATCCTGCACCACTGGACGAACAAACTCATGTATACCCTCGCGCTCCCTCTTTAACATTGAGTTGAGGAAATGCGTCAAACAGAAAAGTTGAATGACAAAAATCCTGCATCACACATAACAAACATGAGACAACATTGAGTTGGGGGGCACGGGGGTACTATTGGAGGACTACATGTGTTGCTTTTTTAATGCAAGATTTCGTCCATCAACAGAAAATGTACTGTATGTGAATTTGTACATTTCATATATCTTCTGTTTGTCAGAGGTTCCACAATATGACAATCACACAACTTCACACAACTCCTGATCCATCCCCACAGATGTATCGATGTATCTACTCTAAGAAGTGATCGCCCCTTCCCTCCGTCCCGCGGCCCACAGAAGGGGCGATGTGCCACTGCTGCGCTGCGCTGGCAGTCCTGGGCCAACGCGCTGGGCCAACACGCTGGGTCGTCCTCCATGCCCAGTGCCTCCTACCTGTCGTCATATTTGGATCAAACGAGAAGGTGGTGTTGGTAAAGAAGTGGTGTTGGTAACTCTCCAGACTTCCAGGATCCTCTCTTCGACCACGTTTTATGTAAAAAGTTCTGAGGTCCGTGGAGCAGGATCGAACTCTTCTGGTCAGTCTGTCCTGTTTCCAAGTCTGGAGGAAGGGTACATTGTTAGAAACTCAACAGAAACCTAGGCTGGTGATGACAGAGTCGTGATTTGATCAATTATGAATCACGTGTGCACAGGTGGTTTCGTTGCATGTGACAGGCACTCCAACCATGGGCACTCTCTGCCCACGGGGAGCTCAAAGTGAGCTGGAAGAAGCTGGCTGGTCCGCTGGCTGCAAAAAAGTTTTTCACTTGGCTAAGTGGCCAAGAAAGCATGTTTAGAATGTTTAGAATCACCTATATAGCACAAAGCAAAAGGTTGAAAATCTATGAAAATCTGAAGGTATGCAATCATCACTTCTCCATTGAACATCAACCACTGAATTGTCCCACAACAAACAAAAACCCGGAGCAGGAGCCCTTCTCCAGCCCGTCGCCCCCCGCAAACCGCGTCCGCACGAAACCGCGCTCGCGACTCGCTCGTCTGCCTTGCTGCAGAAGCATGCAACTCTGCATCCACTGCAGCGGAATGGAGGGCCGGGGCCCCCGCAGGCCAAGCAGACCTGAGCTTCGGGCCCGAGGAGGCTGTCACCTAGACTTCAGGACTTCAGGCCTTCCGGGTAAAGGGAACTAGCACTGAAGTCTAAACCTGAAGGCCCAAAGTCCTTTACCCATGTCGTGGGAAATAGTTGATAGGTCCCTTACGCTATGGACACGGGAGACCGACTGGTGGACCACCGATCGGAGGGGGGCCACCGATATGGCTCGCAACGCGGGAAACGGAAGGTTCGTCACCTTCGTATACACATCCCCTTGCTTAGGAGTATGAACCCAACAGCTACGGAATAACAATGACTGAAAATATCATTGTGCAAACTGTGTACACGCGGCATCTCCATTGAAACACAAATTAGTGTGAATGATCACGCGCGCCTAATTCAAGGATATTCAAGGCGGTCTACCGTGGACGGCCAAGACAGGAGACAAATATCATGGTTTGCTCGGTGATGCCTGCGAAGTTTTTTGTGGAATTCCCTTTTTTGGGGTCAGTTCCCGCAAATCATCAATTTGGAAGTCATGCAGCACCCCTGGAATGGAAATTGGTGCGTTAGCACATGGAAAGGTGGATCAATATCGAAACTGAAGATGTAGTCAAAGAGTACTTGCAGGGTTTTTCTGCATGAGGCAGGTTAGACCGGCAAGCGGGTATATGTATATGGTCTATGGAATTGCAAGTAAATTCTGGGTGTCCCAAACAAGTGGACCCCCCCATGTCAAAAATCCGCACATCCGCGGGAACGTTGACCATGTGATCCTTTGAAAAAGGTTGCCAAAATAGCGACTCTGAAAGGAACCCTATACACTATATATAATACAGACCCTAGAAATCTGTAGATCCCCACTAAAATGCATTGGACTCCGTGTCAAAACCACCTGGTGCCTGTCCAAATGTCCACCCGATGTCCGAATCGAACACTCCGTTTCCGAACACATCACAAGCAAGTGGATGGCACTCCTGTCCGAAATCAGCCATGGCCTCCGCCTTTTCTGCGAAGGAAGGTGGCCATCCACTTCTGGATGTGTTCGTCGCAGTGGGTCGTTACACACCGCCCAGCCACGACCATCGGGATCGCCACGACGACCTGCGTTGCGATGCGATCTCAGGGCGAGGTCAACAGGAAGGGGCTCTGGGTGTTCTTTCCCCATGCGTTCACGAGGTCCGGGAATGGGGGATGTTGATGCGTCTGTTTTGTTGGTTCTTGACACTATAGTTGGTGGCTTATGTGGCTTAGTCTGAAGAAATTCACACCAAAGAGGTCAATAGATTTGCACACGAAATCGCACTTCAACAGGATGCTCATCCACCCTCGAGCTGCAGCACAGCCCCTTCTGATCCATCAGTTGACCCATGAAGGAGCCCCCACTGTATGAGGCCCGCGTCGATGTGGACAAACAATGCAGTGGTTCACAAGACCTACCCTCCAAGCGAACAAGAGCCAGCCAAAATAGTTTGTCTTTCCAAACTGTGCTTGTTCCACTTCCATGTGTCTGGCTCACAAAGAGCGAAAGGGGGAGAGAGAGAGAGAGAGTTCGGTGCCTCCTGTAGACTGGCCAGCCATACTGTGAAACCCTGTCAAAGCAGTGGCCGTAGAAGTCACCTAACCATGTTTGGATAGAAGTCCAGCAAAGAAGTGACCAAAAATCATTGCTGCAGATCGTTTTTGTTTGCTGAGAGTCAACAACTTGATCTTCTCCTGGGGAACATCCCCCTAGTTGCTCATGGCGACTTGACTTGACGCCTTTGCCATGGGTCACATTGACTTGGAGTTTGACGGTCGGAACCGGATCTGCAGGTTTTTGGGGGATCTGCGACGTTTGAAGGGTAGGTCCTTGGTTCAGTGAACTTGTCTGTAAAACAAGGATCTTCTGGGCATCTTCGCTTACGAGCCAACAGCCGAAGGTTTAGGCATTCATAGGTTTCGTGTCACAACAGGCATTCAGTTGTACCAAAGGCGGATCAAGAGAAGTCTTGCAACTCCAGGATTGCACTTGTCCCCAACCACAGATCCACTTGAACACTGATTCACTTGTCACCCGTGTAAAAAGCCCGGTTCCATGCCAAAGAAACAAAAAAGAGGCTCATGTCACGTCTACAAAAACTCCTTGGCATAACAAGAAAGCTTGCCATCCCGTCCGACCCCGGATAGACCCAGGTCTACTACCCGGGCATGCGAAGTCGCTTGAGACCTCCCGTGGTCCGTGATGATTCAGACCTGAGGTTCACAAATCATAAGCCATCTCTCTATGTAAAGGGATTCATCATTGGTGAAAGGTCAAGAAGATTTGATTACTGCAAATGCAGCTCAGACTCGACTCTGATCCTGTAAGCTCCTTTTTTTGTTCTGTCAGTGAAGCAACCCTCCTGCTCTGTCATTGGCTTAGCTACAGCGCCCGTGCCACCGCCCGCGGGTTAGCTCGACGCAGACATCATCTGCGGCATCTTCGCACGGCAGCTGATCACGAGCGGCATCAGCTGAAAAGATTGCGTTCGGAGCTGAAAGACAGCGTAGTTTAAAACACTTGAAGTTGGGCCTTGCGCCTGTCATTATGAATTATAGTGTTCTTATGCGCGATAGTTAAACAAAATACTATGATATATTATGATATAACTATATGTATATGTATGTGTATGTATCAGATCACACCTTCTTGACGCATCCTCTGTACTACCAGTAGTCTCCCGTCCAAGATTCTGCAGCTTGTTCTAAACAAGCCACTGAATCCAGCTACGGCGGGAACTTAAACTGCTCCTACAGGCTCCCACCGGCGGCTAAGCCTCGCAGTGAAGGCCGAACGTCGTGACTCGAGATGTGGGAAGCCGAGAACAGACCATCCATGTATGGCCGAACGTTGGATGGAATAGTTGCATAATGTTGCATATATGTCATGTACCCCATGTTTGATCCTAATGTGACTATTCATGACTATTCCAGTCCTATTGATGTGGGATGAAACCTACTTATTCCACGAGCTTCCTATCCACTGCTTTTGGGGGTGATACTTGGTGGTAAGGCCTAGTTGGATGCTGAAGTGCTCCCTTTTGAAGTTGAAAGACCGCAAAGACTGAAAAAAAAAAAGGATCATGAAAATCCCATGCTTTGTGGCAGATTTTTTGGCCGAACCCTTCCAAACGAACCTCGATCGGCCCAGGTTCGGCGGCGGACCCTCTGACCGATCGATGATTTCTCCCAACTTCGAAGCCTCACAACCCGTGGGGCGTGTTGTAAACCCACAAGGCACGAGTATATCCAGAAGGCAAGAGCTCACATCTGCTCACGGCCCACCGGACCAAGCACTACTGAACTCTCTTGTTTCCCCCTGCTTTGTCGTTTCGGTCTAGAAGTACCCTGATATCTTTTCCTATGACTCTCTGTCAGAGCTCTTTCTTCACGGCCGGTCTGCAAACTCCAAATCAACATTGAGGTCCCGCACCGTCGTAGGATCTCGCAGGATAAACCTGAAATGTCGTTTGACCGTACTGAGGCTTCAACACCCAAATTGGAGAAGCACAGGATGGTCTCACACCCTGATGCTGCAGGGCCCACTTTCGTTCTATGATGCTGCAGGGCCCACGGTCTAGCTGCTGGGTGTTCGTGTGTGTGTGTGTGTGTCTGTGTGTCTGTGTTTGTCTTTTTGTTCGAATCATCCAGCTGTAGAGGCACACGATGCAAAGCCGCAGTAAACAACATCAATTTTGTTCTCATTAGGCAGCACATGTCTTTTTGCTGATTGGCTGAAAACCAAAAGTGAGACATCCCTGCTCCTTGACGCATACCTACCACTCAAGATATGCCCACTCGAAACCTGGTTAGGTTCCTAGAGCATGTGAAAAGGTAACATGTAAGTGAACATGGTTGTGTACGTGTATGTACGTGTACCAGGCTCCCTGACTGCTCCTTTTGCTGCGTGGATGGTCGTGATCACGTGAAACTGGGTCAACCCGGCTGGAGCCATATCGACAGGTCAGGTGCAAATCGAGTCGGCTGGGTTCTTCGTTGGAGATCAGTAGCTGCCTCAGTATCTCTAAAGTTGTACTCTTTGGGGTTCACATGGGTTACCTTTGATTCAAAGTGTACTGAAAACTGGTGGCAGCAGTTGATCTCCAAGGAACCGGGTGAGAGGAAGTCCTACGAACGGCGCGAAGGCTTATTGCAGCGGCTGCTGCAGTGTGCAAGTGCACGCGCAAGATCTTCCGTCTGGTGCTCAAGAGATATGTTTCACTCCTGAGGACTTGTGCTCCAACTCGGGTCAGCTGTCGCAACTTTTGGGAGCTGCTTCAACTCACGCGAGTTGTTGGGCCTTGAACTGCCGATGGCATGCGATGAATCCTTCCATCGCTTTCTCAAGGGCTTCTCTCGACACTGAGCCCTTTGTCATGCCGTCGGCGATCATGTCTCTGGTATCTGCCCAAGCCAATTTCAAGATGCCTCTCTGAAGCTGTTGGCGATACCATCTGAGATGGACCACAAGGCTGTTCTCGGCCGGCACCTTCAGGGTTGGTGCCACGATGGCCGAGGTGACACTCATCGCGTCCAGTACGATGTGCAGGTCTATTGGAGACCGTGTGTCACCTGTCAAGATATTGCGAGCTTCACTCTCGCTCAAACTGTTTTGATGCAGCTCATGGAGTGCCAGTCTGGTGAGGGTAGTGGCATCCACTGCATCTGTCGAGGCAAACAGTTCTGAAGCGAAGGTGGATCTTGTGACATGGCGCTGTGATTTTGATGCGCACTCAATCACATGGCATTTGAGATCCACTGGAGTACTCGCTCCTTTGTAGAGCTGGTTGACATCTGACGTGGTCATCCTTACTGCAAGCATTCCGCGAACACTAAGGCCTGAATCTGATTTTGCCTGAAAACCAGAATCACTGTAGACCACCAAGCTGGTTGGGTACTCCATCTTTCGGTAGACCAGCTTGCGAGGATTTTGCTTCATCCATCGCACAAGGTGATTTAATCTCTTCACGTGGATAGGTTGTGCAATATGGCTGATCCTTTGCAATGCAGTGACGTAGACTGCAATGTCAAGGCGCGTCAGCAGGGCATATGCCACAGTCATCAAAAGACTTAAAAACTGTCTGCGGACATCTTCTGCCAAGTACTCTTCCTTCATTGACATTGGTGTCACAGTCATCTCTTTGATGGCTGCAATGAAGGAGGTTTGATCCAAGGTAATGGCCTCTGCGGTTTGCTGGTGGCGGATGCCACAGAATGTGAAGTTCTCAAACTCTAGATCGAGTTTGCCAAATGCTTTGGAGAGATACTCCACTAGTTCTAGCACGAGCTTCTTTGGGCCTGCGATCTTAAGATCGTCTACGTGCTTCAGCAGCAGAAGGCATATCTTGCCATTGGAGTCCAACAAGTACTCAAGCTCACTGTCCATCAGTGTGGATTTCAATCCATACTTTGCCGTGGCCTTTCTCAACTTCATGCTCCAAGCACGTGGAGCATCCCTGCATCCGGTGCCTGGCTTTGTGCATCTAAGCACCTCATTGGCAGGATTGAAGTTCTCGAAGCCTGGCAGCTGTCTTAGACAGAACACTGGCTGGCCACACAGTTCAAAGCTGACTTGGCGTTCTGGACGTCCTGTCTCTTGTGCCAATTCGGCATAAGTGACTCCCTGCAAGAAGGCTTTTGGGATGTCGGTGGATCCCAGGATCCAACCACGAACCACCGTTTCAGACACAAGGAGGCGCTGGCTCAGCCTGGTGGCTGTTGGTGATGTATTCACGTCATCGTCTGCTCCTGTGTCCTTAAAGCCTCGAATGCATAGCCTTGCTCTGATGAACCTCTTACCACCTTTAATCTTCCACTTATATACCCACTTAACATCTATCACATTATGAGCTTGATGCCTTGGCTGGCGCTCAAAGCATTGGTAGCCTTGCCATACCTTTAGCTCATCAAGGATAGCTTGGACAAGTTCTGGCGCATGGGTTACTTCTTCCTCTTTGGTGAGGAGATCATCACTACGATCAATCACTGCCTTACGAGTGTGGGTTTGATAGATGCGCAGCTCAACATGTTCATGTGGGCCTGGCAGCCTAGGCAAACCTTCGATGACCTTGCACATGTTGCCGTAAGCTTCAAGGGCAACATATGAACCTCGTTCATCTTCATCAATACTGGGGTTCGAGTCACGAAGTGCATCTTGTAGGCTGTCTGCGAATGCTTCCTCAGCAAGGAAACTCTTTTGCGTTTCGGCTTCTACTTCATACCATTCTGGAACATCAGCTTCTGCGGCTGCTTGAAGGCTGGCGAGATTGGTCTTGGATGCCTCCAAGTCGGGCAGCTCTTGGGTATCCTTATGCTCATTGAAGCATACGAATGCTTCTGCGAGTTCTTGGATGGCTGGATGGCTGTCTTGGACGCCGAAGACTTGGTTCAACTCTTGGAAGCTCACAAGTGCATCTTCTGAGCCTCCTTCGTTGCTCCCTTCAGGGATTGTGCTCAGTGGGCCTCCAACACTCATACTTCTTGGAGTGGTGTTGGATGTGGAGTCGTTGGTGTCGACGTCCATGGCAGCGACATCGGCATGGCCTCTGTGGCTCCCAATGAGCCATTCTTCTGTGTCAGGCGCCTGCAAGCATTGGATGAACCGGGTGTTCACCCACTCGCTTCCTGCGAGACCTGAGAACGAAACATTGGTGCTCTGGCTTTGGAAAAACTGCAATGCTTTAGTTCCTGGCGCGGTCCAATGGATCGTCAGCGATCCAGTGTATTCTTCTTTTGCTGGGATCTGCTTGACTCCTAGACCACATCTTGCTGCCACTATGTTAGTGATGTTAAACACGTTCTTTGCAACATGCATGATGGCGGCAAAGAGACCTTGATGTTGCTTGGTGGTATTGGACATGCACCATTCACCCTTTTGGTTACGGATTTGGCCCAATGTAATGACAGTGCCTTTCTTAAATTGGTCTATGGCTTCTTGAGCGATCTGCTGTGCATGGTTGGAGTTCTTATTAATGATGGACGGACTGGCCCAGTATGCTAAGCACCTGCGGACATCTTGGACGCGGCAGGCGATCACATTGTCTGCCCGTGTTCGAATGCCGATCCTGCCATGCTCAAGCCTGCTGGTCAGGTCGACGACAGTCGCTGGGCCTCTCCATCCTGAAGATTCCTTTCCTTCCGGTGGGCGGAAGTACTCCACAGCTTCTCCAACTTTTAGCTCAAGTTCCTCACCGGACACCCTGGTCGGTGTATGCAGCGCACGCTTCATGCGTTCTCGAGCTGTTCCTTCCACGATGGCCTGAATGGCAATCTCACGCAAACGGTGTGTGTGGGCTGAGCTTGGTGCACCGGCTGAATCGTCTGATACTGCTATTGCATCAGGCATGATGGGAGGAACTCTACCTAGCACTGCCGTGAATGGCGAGTAGCCGTTCACTGTAGTCAAGGCGTTGGTCGCATAGACTGCTTCAGAGAGGATTCTAGTTATTGGTACTCTTAACCCCTCTTCGCTCATCTGCGACTGTATTTTGCGCATTGTGTCCCGGAGAACTTGGGTCCTCCGATCCACAATGCGGGTGTGTTGGCCAACTGCAGCTTCGCGCTTGGTGATGCCTTTGATTTCAAAGTACATCCTGGCTTCGTCGTCCTTGAGGCCTTGCTCGCCGTCAAAGATCAGGACCTGTGGTGGTCCGAAGGTGCTCAGCCACTGGTCGAATCCTTGCAGGATCTGACTGGTCGTCTTGTCCTGCAGAAGGTAGGCGGCAGCCCACCTTGTGCCTCTATCGACCATGTGCAAAATGGTGTGCATCTTGTCGTAGCGATAAAACACCAAGTCACCTTCTACCTCAACATTGAAGCCTGTCACAATGCGCGAGCTTGCGACGGTGTCGGCAATCGGTCGAGTCCAGAGACGGCAGATTCTGCAGGTATCAACTATGCCGTCTATCAAGTCGAGAGTTGCCTTAGGGATGCCGGCCTTGTGCAACACCGCCTTCATGCGGTGCGCCGAGATGTGCCACCATCGCACATGCAGCTTCCGCAGAATTCGCCGTTGGCCGTCTTCTGACGAGAACTTGATTCCACGCAATGAAGATCCGACGTCGAATGATGACCAGTCGTTTGGAACTGGTGTTTGGGTTTCACCTTCATCGAATGTTCTTCGGATCCTTTGCTCGAGGTCTGGGCCTCTGCCAGCTCGGGGTGCATCCTCTATTGCTGGAATCGGTTCTTCTAGCGAATCTCCAGGGGCGTGCTCATCAGGCAGAGCACTTGGTTGCCCTGCAGCTGCTGCTGAACTGCTTGCCGGCTCTGCCGCATCGGCTGCGGCTGCTGAGGCCTCATCGGCCTTGCCCAGCTCTGAAGCTTTTAGCTTGGAAGTGGGTTCTTCCTCAGCTGGGACTCTTGAGAACGGCCTTCGTCGAGTTCCGGTTCGTCCAGTCGTCAGGGCGTGACGACAGTCCGGACCGTAGTCATGAAGCTCATTTGAGCGTGGAAGACCTTTCATGCAGCCTGGGCATTTGAACTCGATGGCCTCTACATCAGGATGCTTGCATTCTCCCGGGATTCGAGAGTGTCGAGAGTCGAACTTCTGAAGGCGCCACAGGCATCCTTTGCACTTCCTCCAAGGGCTTTCTTCCACTGGGTCACCTTTTGGGTCGGAAGTGTCGGTGGCCACTGTGGGATAGGCCTGCTCCTTCTTCATCTTTCGAAGTTCTGCTCGAACCAGCTGTTCGATCCCGAATGCAACACATTTCTTTCGGCCATTTTTGTGCTTGGGATGCGGCTCTACCTGTTAATACTTGGTGCTGGTGGATGCCAGGACATGTGCGACCTACGAATGGCTTTAACAGTTCTTGCGAACTTGCTACCAGCTCAGTGGACTTCTTGGCTGGGTAGCCGCCTGCACTTTGGCCTACTTGACATTGGTCAAAGGCTATGGACAGTGATCGGCGGTCGCGAACTACTGTTGGCCACGGTGCCACTTTGAACAAGGTCGAGCCTGTGGGCTGTTCCACCAGGTAGTGCCGACTTCCACCCAACTGGATGAGTGCGATCTCTCCACACAGCTTGGCGATCGGTTCAGCAATTCTTAATGATCGGCGCCAAGCATCTTGGTTGATGATTTGATTCATGCGGCCGAGTGGAGAGTATGGTGTACACACTGGGGCCATTACAACTACCAGTGGTCTAACCATCTTGATATATTCAAGGACTTTCCTTACTGTATATGGGTTGGTCAAATCTGTGCCTGCGATGATGTCGAAGTTGTGGCCGCTGCGCAATCGGCGTTTCACCACAAACCAACTGGTCAAGCCGCGGCCACCGCATATCTCGACAATCTCAACTCCCCATGGCCAAGGAGTGCCTGGGTGCTTTTCTAAAGTGCTCAACATTTCGTCTATGTCGCAGGCTAGATAGGACTGCCCCGTGAGCTCTGGAGACTCGGCAGTTTGGCTGCCGTTGCCAATCCAACAGGACAATGATTGGCTGAGACCTACTGGCACTTCCACATCTGACTCATCTTCCGATGAGATGCCTTCGAAACAACTCAATTCGGGCTTCAAGACTAGAGGTGCCAGGTTGTCTCCGCAGTCATCAAAGTGCTGTTCGATGATCTTGCGGCGCTTAACGGGGATATGTCCTTTCTTCTTTCTTTCGGCTGCTGCAAGTCTTTCTTCTGTGGGGAAAGCAGCTTCTATGTTTGATGCCTCTTGGGGGTCATGAGTCAACTCTGTCTCACAAAGGAGACAGTGATACGCGGCTTGAGGCATGAGTAAGTTACATTCTGGACATGTGATGCAGCAAACAGTATCCTGCAGAGACGGGATGGTCTCTGAGACATGCACAGGAAACTCTAATTCAGCTTCGGGAACTGAGTCGGCTGGGTTCTTCGACTCTACCCCAGGCTCAGCTGGTGCCCAGGATAGAGCGGTGGTGAGAATGTGTTCAACGAACTGCTCCTCAGCAAGACCTCTACGGTGCGAGGTTGTCTCTCTGTCCAGTGCTAGCTCATTTATGTGTGTGGTGTTCTCTGGACAGGTACAAGGTGTGTCTTTTACACCAGGCAAGCTGGCAATTCGGTGAACTGCTGCACTCTTTGCTGCCGACGCTGAAGCACTGATGCCTAGGGCGCACCATCTGTGGCAGGATTCAACTAAGCCACAGGACTGAACAAGGTGCTGTACCTTCGGCATCATGCCGGTTGCTTGCCAAGAATACATCAACAGAATTTCGCCGGGCCGTCATGACCACCGTTTGGATCCGTGCCATGACCTCTGCATACCTTGGCAGGCCACAAAAGATCTTTGGCATTTGGAGGTCAATCCAGACTAAGGCGTAGTGCTGTTGCTTGATGTCTTCAAGGACTCTATCGAATTCAAGACTTCTAGTGATCTCGATAGGCCGAATGCGGATGGCCTGGAGTTCAAGTCTTTGGCATGCACGAACGGCGCTGCTGTGATTGGAAATGGCCAACACTGCAGACTTTGCGTGGTTGCTGGCCCTTGCGAGGTATAGCAGCGAGAGTGGGCCATTGCTCTCGCTTGCTGGCCGTCACTCGACCATCCGCGGTCCCGACGCGGACGATCCGCTGGCCTTGGCAGCCTCGCTTGTCGATCGCCTCTTTGGTGCTGGTGGTGGTGGCGGTTGTCGCGCAGGCGCTTTGGCCTTTTCTGATGGTGCCTTGGAACTTGTTGTGCCTTTTGCCTTGGCCTCATTGACGTCAGCTTCAGACCTCAGGATGACAGTACGCGTGGACTGTGGCGGCTGAGGTGGCGTTCTCTTTGGTGGAGGCCCTTTTGGATTCGGCACTTGCCTTCTCTTGGCCTTTGGCGCTGCTTCTCGCGGTGCGGCCTGGAGATGAGGTGGAGGTCCGGGTGGTGTCTTTGGCTGAGGCACATTGTCTGGCTCTGTCGGTGAATCTGGAGGTGACTTCGGTACTGCTTTGGCGGCAGCTGCAACTCCCGCTTCAGTCAGCTTGAACTGTCGCACCCTCCTCGATTCGCCTGACTCCTCATCCACCTCCACTTCTTCCATCTCTTCTGGACGCTCTTGTCGCCTTCTCACTGGACCGTACTCGACTCCAGCAGCAGCCCTTGCGGCTTGAGGTGCTCCATGAAGTTTGCGGGATGGCGGTAAGAACTGAGGCACATCGTCACGTGCTGCAGTCGGTGGTTTGGACTCAGCGGCGTGATGGCTGCTCTCTTCCGCTGTGCGAGTGGCCTCAGCTGGAGGCTCTGTGGCGGGCTCTGGCGCTTTGGCGGCAGGTGTCGAATCGACTTCCATCTTGGTTGGACCGGCTGATGGTGCTGCTGCGACATCCTCCATGGGGACATCCGTGTCGCGTTGCAGTCCTGATCCGCTGGCTGAGGACTCACGGTCCTCGGCTCATCATCCGTGAAGAGGTGGATCATCTTGACGTTCATCTTCTCGAACCTTCTCTTTTCCCATTTCTTGAAATCAGTGAATGGGAGAAGGAGATGGCCTGATGGTGCCTGCTTTAGCGGATAGGATTCTGTGCCTTCGGGAAGTTCATATTCCGCTTCACGATCGTCCGGGATCAGGTGCATCATCTTCTTACCTAGATCGAGGATGGCATTGTGCCTCATCAGGCTGCGCAATCCCAAGAGTGCAGGAGTGTGACTCTGCTCCACAATTGGGCTTGTGAAGGTGCCTTCATGCATGGTTCCGTCTGATCGCTCAAGGGCCAACGGGAACATGCAGTCGTTGATGCAGGTCTGACTGCCTTTCCCTACCCCTCCAACATGTAGTGGACTGTTGCGACCGAAACGAAGGATCTCCTTAGATATGTCTTGGCCTGCTCCAACCATTCTGAACCTACAAGGTTTCCATACGAGCCAGGATCAACAAGGAGTCCGCAGCCTTCTGTTAGGGCTGCTGCATGAAAGCTCTCTTGCTTGCGCGTTGGTTGTGGCACTGGCCACCATGCATACGATTCTTCCGCTGCGCCCTGATGCCAGCCTGTCGGCAGTCTCCTCCTCTGTGGGGAGGTCCAGTGGTGCACGTGATTGTGATGGCGTTGCTGGAGGTTCGGTGGGCACTTCGGATCTTGCGGCTGGGATTGCATACATCCATGTGCTCACAACTATTGCATCCGAACGGCAGTTCGGGCATTGCACGGCATTGCCCTCGGATTCGGAGTGCTGCATCATCTCACTGAAGCATATGCTATGGAACATGTGACCGCATTCAATCCTCAAAATCTCTTCGCCTTGGTTGAAGGTCTGCTGGCATATGGTGCACTGGTTGCTGAACGGACGAACTTCATTCCGAGGTCGTGACTGCGGTCGTGACCTCTCAGCTTGTGCGAACCTTGCAGCATGCACTTCGGCGAAGATGGACACCACTTCCGAGGCTGTAGCTACTGCAACTTGCTCGGGAGTTTGTGGTGCTTGAGGCATCGAAGTCCTAACAGGTTGTTGAAACCATACTGGTGGCTGCGACGAACTGCTCGATGGCTCACGTGCATTGCTTGTGGCACTCTGCTGCATTTCTGCGGCGCGAACAGCTTCTTGGATGGCGCTCACCTGTGGTATGATCGGCAGTTGAACTTGTTCATACTGGGCAGCCGGCCTGTTCTGGTCATATGGCATGAACCACGAATTGGCATTGAGGGCTGCGTTGACCATATTGAACTGCTGCGACTGCGCATGTTGCATCTGCCGACTGTCGATGTGCCACTGCGTCCATGGATCGCCAACTTGCATTGGCTGTGGCTGCCACACTGCATCTTGCGACCACTCATGATATCCTTGCGACCATGGATCTTGGCCATCATTCCAAGGATCGTTCTGCTGATCTGGTGTCAGCTGGTGGACCTGAGGGAAATCGGCGTGGCTTGCTCAGCAGCTTGTGTAGGCCGTGGTGTCTCAGTTCCAGGGCCAGTGACATTGGTCCAGCTTGCACTGGTTGTATCACCTGACTGCTGCGGAGGTGCACTTGGCTCAACATTGGACCAACTTGCATTGTCGGCTTCACTTGGTGGGCCACTGGCGGCAGAAGCCTGCTCGAAGGTTGCGAAGTGCACTGAGCCCTCCTGAGCGAACAGGTGTCTATCACCAGCCTGATGGATCTGACCTGAACTTGACTGACCTTGGCCTTGCGGTGCACTCTGATTGCATCGGGCGCGAAGATGGTACATCGAACCGCAGATTGAGCAACGCATGATCTGGCCCTGCCTATCTTTGGGGTTGATCCTCCGGCCAAAACCCTTACCTGAAGTGGGCTTGCCCTTACCCTTGCCCTTGTAGTAGTACTCTAGGATTTCGGGGATGTTCAAGTAGGAGTTGTGCTGCTTCGACTTACTCTTACCTTTACCTTTCCCTTTCCTTCTGAGCACTCTGCGAAGGGCACGAACAGGCTTGCCTGAGAAGCGTCTCCATCTCTTCTTGGCGTGCTGGTACTCGCCAAAGAGGTATTGATCGGCTTCGTGTTCTGGCATGTGGGCAAAGTCGGAGGTATCCAACTGACCGCCTGAGTCGGACGACGTGGCCGAATCGGTGTCACTGTTGTTGCCCTCAGTGACAGGGTATGCCCATGCATTGGTGGAATCTGGTGTGTTCCATGAACCAGGTGCATGATTCCAGCCTGCCTCACCTGATGCTTCCCAGCCTGATTGCCATGCATCTTGGCTTGATGCTCCGAACTGCTCAGCATCATTGACATGGAAATGCTGAGTCTGGCCTTGGCCCTGTCGGAGTGTGCTGGCAATGTTCAGTGGCTGGCGCTCTGCGATGTGACCTAACCGACGGATGTGGGCACAAAGTCTGGTGAACTCATCGTCTGTGTTCGGGAGTCTGTAGCCGAAGGGTTGCGTCAAGGACTGGAATTGCTCGGGGTTGCAATTGCATACACGAAGCAGAAGGAGTGCGGCGGTCTCGGTTGACACTGTGGCACCTCCTCCTTCCTGTCTAGCTCGGCTACGAACAATCTCGAATCGAGTTATGAGCCCATCAATCGACTCGTGCGATCGTCGATGGAACGAGAGCAACTCTTGCGCCGCCCTGAGGCGGGTTTCATCGTTGAGCGGTGCAAATCTGGATGCCAGTCCTTGAAGGATGTATGAAACGGGGTCCAGGTGAACTCCGTTGTACATTCCTCCGTGGTACAGCTCTTGAGGCGTGATGCTCCTGGCCATCTCTCGTGCGGGGCCACGCAATTGTGCTACCACCATTGCAGCCTGCTGGTGTGGCTGCAGTTCATTAGAGATGGTCCAAAGCATCAAGTCTTGGCTCCAAGCTCGAAAGGACTGGGTGTGATCATTCGGGTCATACACAGGAGGCATCCGCATGGATTGTGCTACATTGCCGGGATACATGAGCAGAATGATGCACACAATGGCCGATGGGATGATCATCATTATGGCACGGACGAATCTGCTATATGCAGTGGGCACTGCTTGGGTTGGTGCGCCACTGACTCCCTTGGCTTCACTTGCGGGCTCCTGCACTGACCTAGTTATGGCCTGTGTCACCTCAGTGCCAGACATGGTCGGTGGTTCCGACACTGTTGCAACTGCCCTGCCAACCTCAGGACCTGCGAATGCTTGTACCTCTTGTGCGAACAACAGCATGGCAAACACAACACGGCTATGGCCAATGCTTGCATTCTTGAAGTCTGCACGAACTCGGCGGCTGTATCGAACGCGGCCAACTGTCACCTGCACCCTTGGTGTAGCCTTGCTGGAGAAGGCATGGATGGCAGTGATCATGGCGGCGACTGCAAACAGCCGTTGAAGTTCTGGGCACATGATGCATTCCTTGTGCAGCTGTAGCGAATGAGTCACGGCGGCGGCCGTCATCAAAGCTATCGAACTGCTTGCGTTGGTGGCCTGAGCGGCAATCATGTGGACATGGCGAAAGGCGTTGCGAATGGTTGTTGTGGTGAATGTGGAATTGGTAGTTCTTGTGGCATCGATGGATGTGGTATTGGAGGTGTTGGCGATCGGCACGAAAAGACATGGACAAATCCCGTCATCACTGACTGGCGTCAGGATGGTTGTCGTGGCGGTGCACGGAAGACAGAGACTGACCGAATGCGAATGCGGAAGGGACAAAAGACATGGACAGACCGAATCGTCTCCGGGGGCATCGCCTGGACACGATGCGCTAGCCGGGACGTGTGGCGAAAACGGGACAGAAAGACAAGGACACGAACCGAAGCGAACGGCATGGCCTACCGAAGGGTGGTGTTGGAAACCACCTGCATGCGAATGGTGACGGGCGTCACCGGCAACGAAAGCCTGGCCATGCGGGCCATCGCCGGCGCGAAGCACGGCGCACAAGACCATGGCTGCGACGAAAGGCAGCATCATCGCCCCGAACCAACACAGGGGCTCCGCTACCAACTCGAAACCTGGTTAGGTTCCTAGAGCATGTGAAAAGGTAACATGTAAGTGAACATGGTTGTGTACGTGTATGTACGTGTACCAGGCTCCCTGACTGCTCCTTTTGCTGCGTGGATGGTCGTGATCACGTGAAACTGGGTCAACCCGGCTGGAGCCATACCGACAGGTCAGGTGCAAATCGAGTTGCCCCCATCCAACAATCAACGATGACGGCTCATAAGCGATCCATCGAAGACAAATGGTCACTTCATCAGAGGCCCAACATGACGAAAGCCAAGCAATATCAGCGATATCTAAGTGGTATCAATGCCCCTCGAAACCTGCCATTTACATTGCACCTCACAAAGAACTATATATAGGATCTACTTACAGCATTATGTGAAAAAAAATATAATATATATATACACATATGTGTGACATGCGTGTATTTGTGTATCATAGTATAACATGCATGATATAAGATGGCATAACATGGCTGCGTAAAGCATACAGTCATACAGTATTGTACTCTCCAACGCATACAAACCCTGATGATCTGCAGCTAACCACAGTGTTGATGTCATCCTTCGACGCATCCCCGACTCGACTCATCCGACTGGTGAGGCCCGGGCGACTCGTCTGGCTCGTGGCATTCCCACGACCGGTCTCGTTACGCCTTCTCCTGGCACCGTGGCATTCCCACGGCTCCGGACGGCCCAGAGTGTCACGCAGAACGTGTCATGGGTTTTAGAGAAGGGTCGATATGGAGACCCTATGATGTTCTATGCAAGATCCAAGCGGCAAAAAAAAAGAAAGTGAGCCCAGTCACTTGCGACCCCCCAAGTCACTAACTTGCTCGTTGTTCATTTCCATCGGAAGATATGGGGCTCTTTTTCATGCTCTGACATGGTCCGACCGACCTTAGATTCTGGGTTCTCCATCGAGAAACCCCTCGAGTCTTCGAGACGGAGGGCCTCAACCAACTCCCCGTTCGAGAAGCCGATGCCCACAGGGACCACGTCTTTCGTCAAGGTGGCTGACGTATCCAGGGTCCACACCTCAAATGTGCAAGTCTTCCGGGTGGCAAGCGCGCCAGAGTCTGCCAACACGTGTCGATGCGAAACTCGCATGGGCGCCAAGTGCTGGTACTTCTGCCGCACCCCACTTCGGTCGCACGCCTCACGGGGCTGGGGTTTTGACTGGGCTCCCGCGCCCGACGGTGGCCGGACTTTTTCCAGCCAGGTTGTCTGGCCGCTTCCGGCAGCAGCTCGATCGAACGCGTGGCCTCAGGTCGAAAGGGACGCGTGGTCGGAATGCGGTCGGGCCGCGGAAGTCACCACCGGTCACCACGTGGTTCCAGGGCGGAGTTGTGGTTTGATTGCAAAAAGCAAGGAATGTACCACTTGAAAGGGACCAAGGGATCGAGTGACCAAGTCAATCGAGTGTTATCCAACTGCTTCGCAGGGTAGCAGCACTAGAGAGCTAGGTCAGCTGGGTGCTTCTGGACTTGACCCACACCTATTTCCTTTATGGACACAAGAACTGTTCCTCTGTTCCCGCACGCTTTGGCCCGCCTTGTCAGCATCATCCGACTTGTTTGAGGAGACCTGCAGCAAAAGGACTTGCCAGTTTTGGGCAAAAATAGAAAGCCCCAAACTCCAAACAAACCCTGGAATCTTAGAACCACAGCAACAATGACAACGACAACCACAGGAACAGGTAAATGGTCGGCTAAGGCTCGAATCCTTCACATTGCCCATGCACTGCATGGCTGATTCAATCAATGTCAAAATGACAAGGGATGGTGTTGGTTCATTGCCGGTTTCAACATGGGCTTCGCGCTGGTCGTTACACTCCAAACTCATCAGTAAGTTTGAGAAAGACAGTTTATGGCATTTGTCGCTTCCCTTCCACCCCTGTTGCTGGTCATTCAGTCGAGTGGGAAAGACCTCCGCTGGGTTTCCCAGGACGATCATTGAACCCCTGAATCAATTCTTTCTTGGGCCTGGGCCCCTTGCTAAGCACCGCCCACACGGTGGGACCCTCCAGTGCAGTCCTTTCGCCGTAGGTGTTGAAGGTGAGAGTGTGCGAGCGGACAAAGGCCCGCTTGGAGATCTTTGCAAGTATACAGTATACACAAATCTCGTTGGCTCAAGGCTGTGCCAACGTGGGTAATTCATTGGCCGATTTTGCGACACCATTCCACGCGCGGAACATCAAGCACGTCACTGGATGATCATTGAGCTACACAACAGCACACTACAAGCGCGGGGGCAAGAAACAAAGTTGAATTGCTCTTGAAAAGCCAGGATAAATTGATCGCCAATGTGTCTTCCTTAGGTCCTTGAGCATTCACAAATTTGACTCCATTCGTTGGGAGCCATAAACCGTCGCTCTCCCCCAGGGTGCAGTGTCGATCAAGAACATCAAGGGGGTCTTTATTTCTCATCCAGTCAGGCACAGAAATTCACCTGCTGAACACCATGTTTCTCCGCAGTGTGGGGAGAAACATATGTTGCAAAAAATATACTGCAACGTGTCCGTGTTTTGTCAAAATGATTCATTTCGTGCGTCGTTTTTGGGTCATGTCAAGATTGCTATCCATTCCATCCAAGGGCCATGGTGCAGGCCGAGGCACCCACACTGGCTGACCGGCACCGAGGGGCATGGTGCCGTCAAAAATATATATATATATAACAATAAAATCAATTAAATTCATAATTCATATATATATATATACAGTATATATATATATATATGTATGTATGTATGTACGTATAAGGATCTATACTATATACATTGCAGCCCAACTCTCGCAATGGAAAAATGATCTTCCCTAGTACCGTGGTCGTTCGCATGTGTCTCTATCGATTTGGGTCACCCGTGTTACGCTGATTCACTGCACCCTGCTCAGGAGATGTTGTCGCTCAAGGGTGCCATCTCAGTACTGACGATCGGCTGCCGAGGGATCTCCACCTGTGAGGGATCTCCATCGGTGGTTGACCGATGCACACCACTGCTGAAAACGAGAGCTCGTAGGTTGTGACTGGTGTACTGATTCGGGAGAGCAAGGTTACGTTTTCTATCTGTTGTTGTCTACTAGAACATCAAGTCCAAAATGTATAAACATAATTAAACAATATTAAACAAGAAAGAATTCCAGCAACCCTGCACGCCTTTTCTTGAAAGGTGGTTGAATTTCTTCTCTGGGAGTCTGTGTTCACACAGGCTCCCCCCAAACTGGGCACCGGCCCATACCAGAAATTGCTGAAAGGAAAAAGGAGAGAGAGCTCCCAGGTGCAGAAACGGACACCCCCATGGGTGTCGCAAAATGGAGTGAGAGCTACGCACACCAAATTGGGCTCCTCGGCAGCTCTTTTTGGAGGTGGTCGGCCTACCCTCGCTTTGGGGTCCACAGTGCCCGGCAATCCTGCCGACCGCCCGCAAATCTCAAACACCAGCCCTTACCGACACGATCTTGACCATCTCACCGTCACATCACCCACCTCTTCGTGGGGCTTTTCGAGCCGTTCCGTGGGCGCAAAAGCCCAGAACGCCGAGCGGTGTGGTCGAGGGCGCGGGGGGGGGGCCGGTACCTGTATTTCTTGTCCTTCAACAGCACCATGTGGCACCACCGCCTCCCAGGACGTTGCGTAAGGTCGCGTCGGTCGGAACATGGAACACCTGGGACCTTCCCATCAACAACGGCAATGGGCAAATGGTGAAGCTCAGAAGGCTTCGAAGTGTTGTAAAAAGTGAAACCAAATCTATCCACACTGCGGGAATGAGTCCGGTTTCCCGAATCCCATCGGGAGTGTTCGCGGTGGACCGCTGAACTCCAACATATCGTTAACACGGTTAAAAGCACCCTTCTCCTCTGCCGGTTGACGAGTGGATCAGTGCACTGGAGGTGGTTAGATGAAGTTAGATTCGAACACTCCAAGCTCAAAACAGCCTATGATATTTTTCTTCAAAGGCTCCATCCATCTAAGGTCAGTCGGACTACCCTGCAAGTACTGGATCTCAACCCTCAAACTGAATAGCGATGGCCTCGAAGTAGCGATGGCCTCCAACCCAGTAGTAAGCAGTATGCCTCGTGTCCTTCTGATCTTTCCAAAATCGAGAACCATCCAAACCCCGTCAGAATCAGACTCAAAAGCTCTAGGTTCGCCCTATGTTTCCTCGAACAAATTGTACAAGCATAGAGATTCCAAACACTTTCAGCACGGCCAGTGTCTTTTTCCGAACAGAGAACCTGAACAAAACCAAACTGTTCTGGACCAAAAGATGGTGTCTTTTCCTCTCACCAGCCGGGGCGGCTTCGCCCCCTCCACCTCTCCTCCCCAGGATCACGCCTGCACCTGACCCTGCGGCGTGGTCACCGGGAAGCTGTCCCCCGGACGAAGTCCCATCGGAACCTTCACTGTGACCAGCGTCTTCGAGCTCCGCCTGGTGCGGCGAGAGCGGCGAGAGCGGAGGCATTGGAAGGAGCGGAGCCAGGACATAGGAAAGAATCATTGGCACAAGAGCTTGAGTCTATGTTTGCCCTTAATTGAAGCCTTTATACAACTAATACACAACACCCTGTCTGATGGCCTCACTGAATCTGGCCGAACATTCCGGTTTGGTCGTTACAGGGTGTTGCTGTGTTCGGTTGTTGCACCATTCAACATCCCAGTCCACAAAAGTCCACTGGGGTCCAAGGTGCCCAATCCCAAGTCCCCATCTGCTGATCTCTTCCATGGATCCAGCATGATCCAGAGGATCTACTATGGAGGAGCAAAACAGAGCTCCATAGTAGATGGATACCCAAATTGCCGCAGAGCTCGATTCACAGACCTATTATAACCAAGAAAGACACCGGTTGATTGATGATTGTATTGATGGTGTCTTTTTTCACTTTCCTTTTAAGCATGATTAATTCCTTTAATTTTCCTTTGCACAGTAATGAGCAGAAGTGATATCCATTAAATGTTCTTGACAGCATGATTCACACCTTTCATTTTTCTCTTAAACATGATTATTGTTTGTTTTTTTAGAGGAAAGGTGAAAGGAATGGCTCAGTTTAAAAGGGAAAATGAAAGGGAATCACCCATGTTTTATTTTCAATGATGATTTATTTGCAGCAGACGCTAGATGAGCAAATGTTAGATGATTGATTTGTTAGCAGTTCCTTTTCTGCTGGGGCCCCCGAGCCCATATATATATAGAAGAGTCCGAAATGTTTCTCGGATTCAACATGCACTGCACGGGCCGTGTTTCGTTTCTATCGTTTCTATCGCGGACCGGACCATGTTCTACTGCTTATAAAAGCTACGAATCCCCATCCCCTCGTAGCAGGCAACTGGCAGGATTCCGAGAACTATATGCTGGAGCCCTAGAAGTGAGTCCAGTTTTCATGATATGTTGGTCGCAGTGAAGTAAAGGAAGTTCCTGAACTCGTGCCAAGGGAAAAACACATTCTTTCTATACCCTACAGTAGGGCTCCAAGTACCTTCTGAGAAGGTGTTTAGGGTGGGTTTAGAGGGTCCAGATACCTTCTGAGGAGGTACTTGGAGCCCTAGTCCCAGGGGAGGTTTACAACACTGCTTCCAGCAAGGCGACCTGGTGGGTTTCGCTCTGGTGGGTCGACCCGATGACTCCGGTGGACCAGAGTGAACATCCTCCCTGGTGGGCCGACTCACTGAAGTGAGTTGACACATGTGGAAAGCACCAAGTTCCAATTGGCGTTTTCTGGCGCAGGATCAGGACCCTGGCAGTGCCAGCGCGCTGGCCAGTTTTTCTTGCACGCAGGTGCCATTTCAACATCCATACTCATGCTTCAATCATCCCAAGTAACTTAAGATTGACAATAAAAATACTTGAAACCACCACTCAGGAAAGAATATAAATCTTCCACGTTCCTGGTGCTGCAGGAGTTCTTAGGTAGGAGTAGTGGGGCAGAACCTGCGTCTTGTTTCGGGCCAGCAGCTCTGGAAGAGGCATGGTCAGTGCACTTATTCCGACACATGACCTGACTGATTGAATCCGTGCATTCAACATGTTATTAAAATTAAATCACTTGTAAGTTGTACAACATATAATAAATATAAAACAGCCTTGCTGTGGAAAAACAAAAACATATATAAGATATTATAAGATCCTAAGAGCCAAAAACACAGAGCCCTTAAACCTTTAAACCAACTGCTCACTTCTAACTGCTTCCTCTTCCCGGAAGACGCTCCTCCAACTGCTCGCGAAGCAAGAAAACGGCGACCGGAACCCGCGCCTCTCGGGCGGCGGCGGTTGCGCCGCCGGCAGGTGACTGCCAGCACCAAAGGTCTCATCCATGAAGGCCTCGCGTCGGCCGCGGTTCGGCCGTTTGGAACCGTTCGGCAGTTCCGCCACGGGAGGTCAAGTGGGGCTGAAGAGCCCTCGGGCCAAAGTGAGTGGTGAGGAGTGCTTTGAGATTTGAAGAGGGAGATATGTGGAAAGATATGAAAAGATGCTCCTGTCTTTTTGAGTGGCGGAACATGGATGAAGCAACAGCAGGTGCTTAGGAGTGGATTTTAGAGGGATGCCAGTGCCTGGCACCAAGGTATAAACAGGTTGCCCAGCATTCCATGCATTCACTCACTAACTAAAGACGCGGGGATCAACGGATTCGCCCAGATTCGCCCAAGCAAGATCTGCATCAACACAGAAGAATCTGGGGTTTTCCAGCGCGGTACCATCTGTGGTACCGCAAGGGCCATACTTCTCAAAGCTTGCTCGAAATCAAGGATTCGGTCCACTCTCGCTTCCTTGTTTCCTTTTTTGACGCGCACTGTACGTGTATGACTTAGTGATCTGAGCACCATCGAAAAGGCCCTCCTCCTTCGTCGTGCCGGTGCAGCACCACTGAAGCAATGCAGCACAACATGCCCAAACGGATTGATGAAATCTACAGCAAGCCATAAACCGTGGTTTCACTCTCAAAACGATTTTCTCTGAAACCAATTCTGGGATTTGCTGGTCAGAACGTGGCGTTCCAATGAGAGAACGTGGCGTTCCTGGCGATGGCCTCCAACCTACTAGTTGCTAGCGATGGCCTCCAACCTAATAGCAATGGCCTAGTAGACCCCCGAAAAAGAATATCCCCCGAAAAGTGCCCCTCAGCCTGGCACCATCCTGGCACCCCATTCACCATCCTTCAACGCCCCCCCCCGGAAGGCTGACCTGGCTCGGTGGGAAGGAGAGGCCACACTTGTGGAGGAGCAAATCCAGTTTCACCTCAGCTGAGCTCCAAGGCGCTCTGTTCTGAGCGACAGGCTTTGACAGGCTTTGTTCGTACACAGAATGCTTCAGGTGTCAGGGAGGGATAAACCATGGAGCATGGAGGACTTGTTCCATAAAAATCCATATATACCCTATACAAACCCTGGGAGACACCCACATCAAAGAGCATTCCAATATCGAAGAAACAAACTGCAGCAAGGGATTCAGAGCGATCCCCAAAACCATACCCAACCTCTGTCTAATCAGGAAAATCCATGAAACATCATGAAAGCCTATTGGTTTGGGGGCCTGGACAAGTCGAGAACGTCCGGACAAGTCGCACCCAGCTTGATGATTTCAATCATCAGGTTCTCCTGGAGACAGTGTCATCAGGTCTTAGCAACAGATTTAAGTTAAACAATGTTAAACACATGTGACTCTGTCTTAGTATTGACATACGGTGACCCCTCAAAAGACCTCAATCCACACTGCTAACTGTCTGGTACGAAAGCTTTTGGTTCAACGGGACGATGAGTTGCCTCTTCTCGCTTGGAGTTGTGCCTGATTGATGACCTGATGACATCTCCACCCACTGATTCTTACTGTGCATATTCAAAATCGATACATTATATTAGACTCATTGGACCACTGTTTATTCAACAATTAATGATCGAAAAATACAACTTCTATAATTGGTAGGTCACGATTGCAATCTTCAGCATCCCTAGCCTTACAGTAGATGCCTTAGATGTTTATACGGGTGCAAACTCCCAATCCGTAGCTTGGCACATATCGCCCAATCTCTGATATCTTGGATTGGCCAACCATAAACCAGCATCTCCTGCTGCCGGATTTGTGCAATGTTGCCACGCTTCACTTTCCGGTACTGAAGTTCGCGGGCGATCTCGCTCACAAGGGCATGGCTGCAGCCAAAACCCGGACTGATGTGCTGCTTGTCCGTCCTCGGCGGAAGAACAATGACTTGACCGCGCCGTGGCACGATGACTTCCCCCGGAAAACATCTGGAAAGAAGCGAAAGGTGCTTCCTGCATGCACGGTGAAGTCTCGTCCAAATGGGGGAAAATAGCAAATGATTGGCCGACCTTGCATTCTTCCACACTGTTCAATGGTCCACCAAAAAAAATCAAAAAGGTACAGTACGTGCGCTGCGTACTTCCTGCGCCTGCAAGCATGTGGGGACCGGGTGTGATACGACTTTTTTTAAGCATCAGTTCTTTGCCTGGCGACATATAAACGAGCTGAGTGGGAAAACACACAAAAAACAAAGAAACTGGTACCAACGAAATCCCTGGCCCTGGTAGACGGGAGCGACCACACTGGTCACCAGAATAGAGCAGCACATGCGAACACATGGAACTTCTTTCAATGCTGAGGACCGGAGATCCTCGACAAGGAAAAGGACTAAATGGATTGTTCAGCACCAATTGATTCCTCAACGGAACTTGGCCCGTTTTCGCTTCACCGTCTTGAAGGCTCGCAGTTGTCTGGATCTCCCCCTATCGATCTACCATGCTTTTGAGAGACCATGTCTTCCACCTGAAAGGCACATCCTCCGGTTCCTCCCACTCATGACCCACACAAGCACCGCCCAGCATCGACACGCCGACGCAGGTGTGGTTGCAGGCTTCTGCAGGCTCCACCGACCCTAGTTGAGCGTAGGGCTCGCGGCTCCAAGAATCCATACCTGAAGCTCCGCGCAGCTGCGCGACGCTTCACGGAGCTTACCATGTCTGAGTGTGTAACCTTCGTAGGGGAATTCCTGGATTCCAATTCCGATCAGCGGTGAATTCCTGTGAATTCTATGTTGGTGTTCCCAACATGCTTTGTGTCCGCGCAAGAAAAAGCTCCATGATTCGCGTCATCTCCGGTGGAAGCTGAGCGATGTGTCGTCCGGATGTTTGGGTCGTCCGGATGTGTCGTCCAACTACCCCTCAGATGAGTTAGGACTACCAAATATGAGATGGGTTGTTTGTTTGCACAGTAAGGCACAACAAGTCCCAACTCACTAGTGCAGCGTATAATGTCTTCGAGCCTGGCCTCCAACCTACAAGCGACGCCCGATGGCCTCCAAACTAAGAGCGGTGGGGGGGGTGGGGGGCGGGCACTTTTTTTAATAGGTGCACGGTGGACCGGATTAGCTGTGTTGGGTACTGCATATCAAAATTCATCTTCGGCATGGCCACATCATCTACATCGGCTTGCGCAAATGGGCAAGCAGACACAGCTTGCACGCATTCTAATGTCTCGCACGGCTTGAAAAGCGCCGTAAGGCCTGCCCCTGGGGATCACCACACGGTGTGCGCGGATCTCGTGTGCCTCCTGGTCTTCGATCTGGTGCCACACACGCGGCACTGGGGCAATGATTTTCGGCGACGCATCAGTCGAGGTCCAGAAGTTTAGCATCTTTTTGCCAGGCACGGGACGCGCAGGTGCGCGAAAGAGCTTGGGCAGCTCATTTGCGAAACTAGGCACTTTGTTGCTCGCCCAGCTGAGGTGGCATAATGGGCATCTGGTGCTGCGAGTAGGGTCTCACTCTTGGTTATGTGGCTTTCGTGAGGTGCTGCCTGGCGTGAAACGTGAAATGTGCCTGAAGAAGCTTGCACCACACCTTCCACAGGCGGGTTTCATTGGTCATCCGCTTAGACATCAATATACAGTACCCTGTCTCTACTTCACCTGCATGTACATCATGGTCTTTGGACGTCCGGCGATGCTGGGAAACCGCACACATCGACTTGTTGAAAGTCTCCATTTCCGGCACTTTTGTTTCATGTGGTGACGAGTGGTTCATGTGCGTGTGGATTCAATACGCTTAAGATGATTGGAGCAAAGACAAACTTGTGGATTTGGTCTACAGGAAAATGAAAGCACCATCTTGCGAAGACGATGCAACTTGTGGTTTGCATGAGATGCAACTTGTGGTTTCCCTGTGCTGAACTCCTCATGCTGCAGTTGCAGCATCAAAATAGACAATTCATGACATCTCCCTGTAAGTTCCCTGAATTTGTAAGGTCCCTGAATTTGGGCATTTCCTTGAGTGGAATCGGATCTACCCAGGCCTTTTGGGAAAATGTAAAGCTTGGAAGGAGGATGCCTGTGATGAATTCAATGGCAATGGGGAATTGGGAGTCCCTCCTTTTCATTCGAGACGCGACTTGCAGTACTGCAGTATTGCCAAGACACAACAGTTCTTGAGGTGAAAAACCGCCTCCTCATCATTCAACTCCTCGGTCTGAAGACGTAAGAATAGTTATATGATACAAACACATGACCAGTGTAAAGCTGGACGTTCAAAAACAGCAAAACGATTGAAACGGTCTAATCGTTCTTCTTCTGCTTCTTCTGAACCGTTCCACACAAGCGGTCCCCCATTCTGCGAGGTCCACCGGTTCGACTCAGGTCCGCCCTGCGCTTCTGCAGCCAAGCCTCCAGGGTGTGTTCGGCACAACAGCAATACGCGTCACACCAGGTGGCAATGTGGAACATCTTGTTCTCCATCTTTTCAGATGCACTCAAGTGCAGCTCCTGAACCGGTGCAGCTGAGCTAAGGTCGGTGGGGTGCAGCTGTTTCTTCGAGTTTTGGCTGGGATTCGGGATGGTCAGGGGTGGGACATACCCCACACCACTCTCGCGGAAGCTGAGCCTGGGTCATAAAAGGAAAACGACCAGCTAACAGGAACATCTTCATGGAGTGGCCATTTCGGGAACGTGCTAACGGAACACCTTCGTAAACAAAACACGTGTACAGGATTATGCAGTCACATTGAATCCAAACACCCCTCTTTCCTCACCAAACATCAATCACTCGACGGGTGGATCCTATTGTTAACGGTGGCACTTTTAGCTTTCTCGTGCTTTCTCTCATGGTACTGATCGTGGGCAAACACCTCAAGATTCTGTGAAGAGCGAAGTCAGGTTTGTCTGTGGAGGTATCAACATAGCCCCGTGCCAAAGAAAACAAAGTTAGAGAAATGCCTCACATCTTCCTGCAGCCGCCCTCTACTCTCACTGGGGTCGGCTGAAAAGTCCACTGAAAAGTCCACTTCAAGTTAAGTCTTGGAAACCTCGGTGGTGAGTGGCTGAGTGAATGTGCGAGGCTGGCTTTTGAACAAATCGGGATTCTAAGGTCCAAAGTCACTGGAAGTCCTTCTTCATTGCTTTCCTCCCGTCAAGCGGTGCCCTCCCATCCTGCCCACGTGGTCCGCTGGCAGGTGGCAAGGTCGGTGCCTCTCGGCAGTGTGAGGCGCAGTGGGGAACACGAGGAAACTGGAGTTTCCCCCTGCAGTTGTGGCGGAAACTCAGTCGGCCGGTTTTGGGCGCCACACTTCAGTTGTTGTGTCAGTAGTTCTATCAGTTGGGTTGTTGCTCTATTTTCCCGAACTGGGCCTCCCTGGTCAGATGTGCAGATGTACACACGTACACACTATGGAATCTATCAGCTGGAAGAAATGTCCACCCTTTCCAGCGCTCAACGACAGTTCAAGCTCTGACCCGTCAAGCACTGAAACCATGCTTATCTGGAGATTCTTGAGTGCTACTCAGGATTGACGTGGATTTGGGTATTAATCATTAATATATGGCGAATCAGGATGAATCAGGTCCCTTTTATATAGAGACATCCAGTGACCCCAAACAGATTCCGATCGTAAAGTCAAAAACTCTGTTTGCCACACCACCAATAGTTGCTTTCAGATTATACAGCTTGGAGGAAGCACCATCCAATGTCTCATCTGTGTTGCTTGCATAAGTGTTCCATGCTTTTCTTTGCTCCATTGCGGTTTCGGATTCCCACGCACTCACGGTTGCTCTGTCTCGTTGAGGTTGGAAAAAGAAAACAAGGTGTCCTCCAGTTTTACATCAACCGCATATATGTCGTCTTGTTTCTTCTTTCACCGAAGCCTGGGAGTGGGGAATCTGGTAGCATGAGCACTTAGAGACTGTCGGTCGTCGACAGCCGACAGGTGCCAACCCGGCCCCTCGCACGCTTCCGGACGAATCCAGCCGCTCGAATCGGGATCCCGCCCGACATCCACGGAAAAGCGGGCCACCTGTGCTCCATAGATGCCGCTCATGGTGGCTTGCGAAGGGGGGTACTCGATCTGCTGTTGATGCAGCAAAATGTCGCAACGGATGTCGCTTTCCTTAAAATCGAAGCACCGAACGGTCACATCGGGAGATCCAACTCGTGCCGGGGGGAGGGACATCACATCACCAGCGGTTCAAGCGAGCGACCAGCGTGTGTCATCCAGCCCAGGGGCCCAGTGGCGACGGATTGTAAAGCCCAGGGGCCCAGTGGCGACGGATTGTAAAGCCCAAGAGCGTTGAGGACGATGGATGACTGGTAAAACCATGTCAACAATGCCCAAGCACTGCATGTGTGGCGTACTTCCCCACATTGGGGAGGTTGAGAAGGGGTCAATGGAAGGTAAATATTCCATAGGAGTACATGGCAGTGGGCCATGGCACCTCACCCAACAAACCATGGAAGGTTGACATCCCTTGCTACAAGGGATCTGTTCATTTCAGTGGTTCACCAGGACTGCCACAGGGTGCTTCACCAGGAGTGATTGCCAAGCCACAGACGAAGCACTCGTGCCCCACAGACAGAGTCTTCGGCGACCAAGAGCCAAAAAACGGGTTCACCAGGGGGACACCCTTCAAACCCGGTATCACCGTATACCAAGGGATGTCTATTTTGCGCGCGATGTTGCCCCGCGTGTCCGCGAGTCGTGTGGTTTACCAGGGTCCCCCCTGTTTTGAGGGTCCAATGGGCCTGGAGTGTCGGGGATCAGCCATTCTCCAATACCTCGGGACTTCGGACTTCGTCAACTCCATTCAACTCCTCTCCGTGCCACTGAGGGCGCGGTTCAGGTTTCCTGGTCGGTTCATCTTCTTGCCACCCCGAATCAAACGATGAGAACTGCGCAACCGGAATGTCGAGTGTTGAAGTTGAAGACCTTCAATGATACAGGAGAAGCACACGAGTTCCCTGGCAACCCTGGATGCAAGCAGAGCGTCAACTGCCTTCACCATGGTATTCTCTTGGTTTCTCAGTTGAGCGATGTTGCCACGCCCCACTTTTCGGTCCTCAGAAGAGGCAGGGGCCTTCCATTCCATGTTTCATCAGCAGAGTCAAAGGGTTGAAACTCTGGCATTGACGAACTTAAAATGGATGAACATGCGGCACGCAAGCTGCTTGAGGGTACTAAACATGGTTAAGATAAGGTGACGGAGCCTGGTTACCTGGTGGCCATCCCACTCCTGAATCACTATCCTTCAAAGACCAAGAGCAAATAGGGTTCCCCTCCATAGACCGAAAATGTTTCACTGACCAGCCCGCCCAGCAAGGCCACCCGCGCCACTGTATAGATGATCTTGGATTACCAAGAAGCAGGTCCAAGACTCAGTCAGGAGCCGGTCCAATGTGCAGGTGTCTGGAGGCGTCTTCAAAATCAGACCCGGTCCGACCCCCACCAACCCAAGTGAAAGGACTAAACGTGCTGGGCCGGAAAGGGCCAACCGTCCAAAGCCACGACCCGCCGGGGTCCAAATGCTGGGGAGGTGTTTTGGACAACTCCAGTGGGGCTGAGGCAAGTGTCCTGCAACTCCTGCGCGAGCTCATTCACCAAAGCCTCATCTCCACACCATCCTGGCAACCACCAGAACCGCAAAATGCTAGATAGCACTGTTTCGCGAGCATCGTCGGTTTACCCTGAAACAGGGGCAGTGTTTACTTCAAGAAAGTATTCCTGCCTGCATCCTACAAAATCCTCTGCTCCCTGGCATACTAGTGGACAGAAGAACGGGGCAACCCGAGTTCACTAAGTTAGAACCTGCACTGAGACTGTTTCCTAGACGAAGGCGATCTTCCTTATCCACCAGCGTGTAGATTCACTGCGTGGACAAAAAAACAACTTTTGATGGGGGGATAAGAGTATGCAGTGTGGATAAGTTGTCTTGGACTTTGAGGCCATCCAAGTGGCAAGTGGTAGGTTGTCCACCAAAATCTGATCAAAGTACTGCTAATTATGTTGCTATTCACTCTCACTCGGACCTCCTCATGACCCAACCCCCTCTTAGTAGAGGATTGTGGATCTCTCATGTGGGAAAAGTTCAATGAGCGCTTCCAAACTTCGGAACTCGCGTGGTCAAAGAAGCAAGAACTCTTGGATCTTGGTGCTTAGAGGCTTAGAGGCTTAGAGGCTTAGAGGCCAAGGCATGTGTCAGGCATGTGTCTCCCCTGGTCAAAACGGTCGATCAAACGGCATGTCGCTGTGGCGTTTCATCCGTCTCCACCGTGAAACGGCGGGCGCCTGGGCTCATGCCATTCACTCCGTGGCAGCAGAAGCAGCAAACGCCTGTGTGACCGACCATGGCGGCCATGTGACCGAAGGCTGTGAGGGTCATGCGTACCCTCCCTGAAAGGGGTCGGAAATCAGTATTCATGGATAGCATAGTCATGGTTTGCTACTTCCATGACTATTTCAGGGAGTGTATGCAGGATCAAAAAGACATGGTTCTGATATGCTCTCATAGCATGCGATCTGCGATCTTGAAAGCTGTCCACTTGCAGTTCACTCCACCTGAAAACCGTTCATCCCAATCTCCTCAAGTCCAGGAAAGCGGACGTGTTGTTCTGCAAGTACTGTTACTTTGAGCGACCAAAAGACGCACCCAGGCTCAAGGCTCCCTGAGATGATGCTCCCTTCGTGGGATGGGAGCAAGCCCCCGACTGAACCCGCGGTGGTCTCATTCAAACATCCAGCCAACGACTCACTGTAATCACTCGGTGCCGTCGTGCAGTAGAAAGCAAACCCGTAATAAGTAATATGTCTGTAGTCAAACGTTGCCTGCCTTTCATTGATTCCCCTGGCCTGCATCCACTTCTTGTATTTGTGCATACGGCTTGCGTTCCGTACTACTGCAGCAATTGTTTGAGCGCTCCGTCACCACCTGGCAACCAACGATTTGGCGTTCCGAGAACGGTCCTGTTCCGGACTTGCAATGGCCCTTCGGGCGTTGGGGCGCGGTGTTGCAGGTGTTGCTAGTTCCACCTGGTGAAATGCCGGAGGTAGGGAGAACCTGGTGTGGTCTGAGGCTCACATCTGAATGCATCCATGTTTGCTCACTCTGTGGGACATCTGCACTCCATTGACATCAACGCCGAGCTCTTTTGTTGAGTATGTTGAGATGTGAGCAAAGTATGATGGTCATAGATTCTACGACTTTGAATGACTTTGATTCGTTCGTAGAGGTGAGTGTTAAGGGTTCCGTACTGCTACACTGCTTTCCGAGCTCTTCTGTTGAGTATGTTGAGATGTGAGCAAAGTATGATTGTCATAGTCATAATTGTCATAGATTCTACGACTTTGAATGACTTTGATTCGTTCGTAGAAGTGAGTGTTAAGGGTTTTGTACTGCTACACTGCTATCTGGCACAGTTCCATAAAGACCGTCGTTCTCTTCTCCCTGTCTTCTCCACATCTACATCATCCACGGTTTCCGTCGTTCTTTATGCGGCTCGCGCGACTCTCCAACCTCCTCCTGCGTCAATGTGACCGTATGCTTCGTGGGCCCACAAGTACAAATGAAGTTGCAAACATTCTGCACCTGTCACGGTGCACGGTGGCAAATCCACGGTCCGGTCGTTTCCATGCGTTGGGTGTTTCCATGCGTTGCCCCCCAAGAAAAACAGGCCCTTTTGGGGGTCCGTGTTCGCTTCTAAAAACGCTTGGGCACCTTGGGGCAACATGAGTGGCATGCCCGTTCTAGGGACATGATGGGACATGTCTGACAGGTCCGATGAGACAGGTTCTACTGGTCTTTTCGGCGAACCCAGCGAGACATCTGCTTGACATCGTGAGGGAAATCCCCCCACACCTTGACGACTGGGCGGAGGTCCCAGTCAGAGTGCGAGACATCAGGTTGTACGAGTGGAGCCCTCTCTCTGCGGAGGTCTTTGGGACCAAACGGATGCCGTGCGCGCAAAAAACGGGTCACTCAGAGGGATGCCAGACAGCCTGGAGGCACCTCACTGGAGGCACCTCACTGGAGGCAGCTGTGTCCCTCTCAAATTCGTCTCCCCGCCACGCCTAGCACTGAAACCAACCCAACACCCAATGGCATCCTAAACGACAGCGCCTGGTTCAAGACGTCATAGGTCTTGGTCTCGAACTGCCGGCTCGCTTCTTGATGTTGATCCGACTGCCTTGCTCCAAACGAACCGAGTGGAACGGGGCTGGGCCTTGGGGGCCCTGCCAGAGCTTCCGCACCGAGCAAAAAGGCCGAAAAATGGATCCGTGAAGACCTGTGACCGATCCTTCTGTCGAGTCCATGTTCGGTTCAATGAGGGGAGGGTTCCCCTCCATCCATATGGGTCAGTAACTCTAGCAGTCCGACCTTCCAGCGGGTCAAACGAGGTCTCACCCGTGTGGTGTGAGAACGGACTTCTTCCGGTCGTGAGAACGAAATGGTTTCTAGTTACTAGTAGCTTCTTGTTCCTAGTAGTGATGGCCTCCAACCTAATAGCGATGGCCTCCACCTAGTAGCAAGAAGACCCAAATGTCAAATTCCAAACAAGAGTTGATCCTCAGTAATCGCTCTGCCGCTCTCCTCTCATTCTGCATCTGGACCGCCTCGGCAAATACTCTGGACCGTCCGGCCCGTAGACCGACATCATGGTCTCTTGGGAAGGTGGATAGGACACATCCTCAGGTGGGCCGAACTCACAACGACTTCGATGAACCGACGAACGCCACCTTCTCCGTGACCCGGTGCTGCCCGAACGGACTCTTGCGGAAGATGCATACAAATCCCAGGTGGTGAAAAGAAACCTGGCAATGAAAGCACTCGGATTCACCAAAGTGGGAGTGGAAAGACTTGTGCCAGAGGGTCAAATAAGGGGATGATTATACCATCAAAAGAGGTCTTGGACTCCAAAAGTCAAAAGTCTGCCTTACGGCCTTACGGGTTGTGTGCGGAAGAAGCGGTATTGTAGGAACACGTAAGGACAGGCAGAACTTGTTGTTCCTCAGTATGTTGGCTGCTTGTCCGCCTAAGCAAAGGATCTTCCATACATCAGTGGGAGAGAAATATACAGTTCAGTGCCAGACAATAGAAAACCAGCGACTGTGGCGTCTGAGATCTCGGAGACTGAAATCCCACATGAAGCGAAAAGCGGAAGATGCAGCTGTCAGGTTTTGCCCAATCTTCCATGTCTCTACACTCCCAACTCACCCAACTCACTGGAAGTGGATGACCCCAGGAAGACTAGTTTTGCTCCACAAACAGAGGAGTCATGAGGAGTCCACTAAACCATTGCCATGTCGTCGGAATGTATCGTCTCCATGATGTTGGTGTCTCGCTTTGTCACTGGCTGGTGGTTGCCCTCTCAACAGCTTTGGGTCAAAGCTCTGCTTTCAATTTCTGCATCAGCAAGGGTAGCTGCGCTGCAAGGTCATCGAAGCGTTGCATCATCTCCTGGCGCCAAAGACCCATGGAATGGCCAATGGACTAGGAGCGCGCAAGTAAAAAAATTAAGAAAGAAGTGTATACCTGATTATCATTGAAGTGAACTGCTGCAGTTCCGACACCATGTCTGCTGGGCTCTTCCCATCATACCAATGGCTGGGCTTACTAAGCCCAGCAGTCCCATGCCTCCATGACAAACAAATCTGGAGCATCGCGGTGGCCACGTATACGGATTTGTATGTTCACGCTCACCTCCTAGATATCCAACGAAATGGTCCTACCGGGACCTTCGGACAGTGTTTGATTAAAGCAGCTTGTTTCCTTATCCAGTCAAGCAGAGGAATGTGCTGGAATCAATCCTGAGACTCTGGAGCAAGGGTTGGAAGGGCAATCGAGAACGCCAACAAGGGCCGTTCACAGTTTGTATAAAAATATATGTATATATACATATATAGGTTCTATCCTGATGGACAAACGCTCCATGAGTTCTTCTCCCAGGCCCCTTCAAATCGAAAAAAAAACAGGCATTGGCGATGTTTGGGTGGGATTTCGGTGGGGGGTCGCTGCTGGTCTTTCAAAATCCATCAATGCACCCCACGCCCAAAAACGAACAACGTCTGCCGCCACGTTTGCTCTCCTCAAGTTGATTGATTTGACGACGGTTCCCGCGAGCATCCACCTGAGCTGCCGTAGCGCGACCGACTCAGTCGCTGGGAATGGTATGATTTGTTGAAAAGAGGGGCCAAGGGTGCTGGTCATAGTCTTGGACTCCGAGGGTATACTGTATATATATATACCATAAAAAGAATGGTCTGACTAGGTGACCTGAAAAGGAATTTCCTTTACTTCAGTCGGTCAAAATATAGTCTTTGGACTCCGAGGGTATTTGTATTGCGTGCTTGTACTCTCAGGCAGGGCCCACTGTTGAGGCTGCGGCTGGATTTACTGTAGACACCTAGACCCCAGGCAGGCAAATGTTTGGACCTTGTGAATATAGATGTGAATAAATCGGTGGGTAGCTTGATTGATTGAGCATCGCGAGCAGAGTAGATCAGCAAACACATCTGCCAGACGGCTGAAAACCTGCCAGATGGCTGAAAACGCCCCTCTGAGGAACAAGAACCCTGCCAGAAACCAGTCATATGCCCCTTGCCACTTCGAGCAAAGCCCTGTGCCCGTCCAGAAAACCCTCTAAGTCTGAACCCCTGTTTCCTTGGAAACGAAAAATGAACCATTTGTCCACCTGTTGGATTTCGGGGTGGTCCCCAATCCCCCAGAAAGGGGACCGGTTGATCCACTGCTTGGCTTCAAAACAGCGCAGTCCCTTTAAGGGTGGCCTTTGGCCACCGCGACTCTGGCTCACCGCGGCCGCGGCACGCGCCGTTGGAGCTCCGTTCGGATGGCCTCGACGATGTCCATCGAGCAGCCGGTGCCCGGCTGGATGGCATGATGTTCTGGGCGCTTCGCCGAACACGCGGCGCAAACCCGCACCGGGACACCGCGGTCGCCGTGTTCGGGTGGAACCGAAGAAAGGAGCCAGCCAACTGGGCCCTGGGTAGCTAAGAATTGATCCATGAATAGCTGGATCACTGGATAACCAAGAGGATGGAGTATGTGGGAGTGGGATGTATCCTCTGACTTCTCCTGCGATCCCACTCCGAGCCAGGGATGCGTTTCCTCTTCCGTCCAGGCTATGTGGTATATGGGCTGTGTTAACGGCCTGATCGTATTCAACTACCGGGCGCGGTGCCTGGGAGTTGATACCTTCCGCAACGAAGGCTTCAAATCAATCTCATCGGCTTACCAGGACCCACTGTCGGGGTGGTTCATGGACACCCCTTAACCTCTAAGGGGCTACAAATAGACACCCCTTAGGGGGCCTGGTAGTTATATGTTTTTTGTTAAGGTACCTGATAAAAGGGCTGTTAGTCAAGCCGAGTTCTTGATATCGTTTGGAAGGCAACATCTTTTCTTCCACGCTGGCGTCATGGATGTTTGCTTTGCTCTAGGTCGATGCTTCACCTGCATGTTTTCGGGGACATTTCATGTACCCGGGTCAGTGCGCCCGGTACAACACTGGACGCGTCTCACGCGTGTACTCCAGTCCGCTCGATATATATATATATATATACTGTATGTATGTATGTATGTATGTATGTATGTATGTATGTATGTATGT